TAAGTATATATATATATATATATATATATATATATATATATATATATATATATATTTCAATGACTTGGAAGTCAAAGCATAAACATTTTTTAATTCTCAGAAAATCTCTGATCTTCTAATAAACACTTCTAAAGTAATCATAACATATAAAAAAACAAGCAGAAAAAATGGAATCATACCTGTAGTTGTTTAGGAAATGTTAAGGATAAAATTTCCTCTTCTTCTGAGTAAGCAATCTGAACATCAGTTACATCTGCAAATAATATTTGTAAAATCATTTAGAAACTTAACAAACAAAATAACAAAATGAAATGCTTTAATTGGCCTTGGGACTTGGACATGGTGTATAACAAATAAAACATTTACTAGGGAAGGTTTTTCAGGAGATAACATAGAAATATCAGTATGTAAATTGCAAAACTAATCTATTTGTATAGCAGAGATATTTAACAAATTAATTATAAAATAAAATTTAGGGAAAAAATTAAAAATCCAAGACCGTATCTAGGGGATCACTCTAACCACCCTTTTAGTAAGGATAAACATCTGGTATGGGTAAAATTTGAATGAGGTTCTTCAGTAAAAAAAGTCCACTTTTTTAAATAAAAGCAATCCCTCTTTGAAATTGCTGGCTACGAACTGATGTTCATGAAAACATTGCATGTGTAAGATCTGCTGGGGGCATACTGCATCAGTACCAAACAATAAACAGTCAGTATATTTAGAAAATGATATATTACCTCCTTCCTTTCCATTATATTTCACTTCCTGGACTTTGATTTCAGCAGAATTGAGCTTGATAACATTTGTTGGATTGCATATCTGAAAGTGAAAGTGGTACTTGTTTTCAATATGGTTAAACAGATTTTAGTAATAACACCATATAAACAGGCACCTAGTTGGACCCTAGTCTGTCCTGCTGTCGCCAAAGCATTTAATTTGCAAAATCGCTTTGTCACAAATGAGGTTTACGTAATTTGTTCTCAAGTAAATTTTCATTCATTTTATTTGTCAGATATGATGATTCATCAAATTACCTCCAAACTTATGTCCTCCGTCCCTGTGAATGTGAAAGCTTCAAGGTTGGGCTGTAGACGCAAATCATAGTTCACTGGCTTTACATTCGTTGGCAGACGTTCAAACGCTTTTTTCTCCATATCTTCTATTGAGCGAGCGCCTTTTAAAGGGACAGCGGAACAAGCAAACCTGCGGCGAGCGACACTGACTACAAAAAATGGCCGACTGCTGTGAGACGGACGGAGAGTGTTTTGTTGACAAACAATGAACCTGCAGGGATTTATCGATCGAAGTGCTACGAATGCTGCTTTAATGGTAAGCAACATTCAAACACTCAGTTGTCAAATGATCTAGTTTTGTTCTAAATGGTGTACTCGCATGCACGTGTGCACACCGGCTTCTGTCAACTCAGTTTCACTTCGAGGTCGTGACCCACATCCGGGGTCCGTATATCCTTTCAAGCCAAAATGGCGGAACCTGACTGATTAGGTGTGTACCCGGTCAAATTTCTGGGAGTTGATTAGGTGAGTATTTTTCCGATTTCAATATGATATTTGTAATTATTTATATGAAAGCTAAATCTACAGTTAAGTCCATATATTAAGAAGAAATACGTGACATACCTTGGTTGGGTCATTTACTTCCGTCCTGTATTTTGAGAGAAATTGGACTCAAAGATTGCAGTTAAAACGCCTTGACACGAGAAGACCCGCATTTTAACTGATCACAGTGCACGGAAAATAATGGAAAACTTCACTTAAAGCGGACAAAGTATTTTCGAAACCCCAAGATTCGGCGGCTGGTTTTTGAGAAATTGTAAACTTATTTTTGAAAGTTTTTTTTTTCGTTGATTTTTTTAGAGTGCTTGGTCGGTGATGAAGTGTTATAGTCTACTTCAGATACTCTCTCAGTTAACCTAAAGCCCAAATACCGTCAAAATTAGTGCTTGTTAAAGAAAGATATGATAAAGTCATAAAGGATTCTGATAGTTATATGTAAGGCAACACTTTATAATGGTTTTATGATTTTCATTTATGCTGGCTGAAACCACTGTAATATGTACACAGAATATTAATTATGACAGATCCATTGGTATGTAAGTGGTTTTCACCCACAAACTGTTCTTCAAAAATGCAGGGTTTTTCTTTTTAATATTTAGAATTTGCCCTAAGAAAGTGCATGCTACTACAGTAATCACACTAGAAACAAGTTCATTCTTGAAGTGCAAAGAGGCTTCTAAGGATGTAGAGTTGTCCTAATAACTAACTGTAATTATTTATTCAGGTATAATGAGGAGGTATCTTAAGGATATGATTCAGTGCTTTTTATGCAAATTATGAATAGGTGAGTTGTAAGGAGTGTATATCCGTAAAAAAAATTAAGTGCAGATATGATCTAACTGTTCCCTGACAATTAAAAATATATTGTTGATTTTCAACTGTAACATGGTCAAGTTTCCAGCCCTCAATACTCAATATTTAATATTTCATTCACAGTCATAATGTACAAAGGTCACTGTGAGAAACTTGCTGATCTCATGATGGTGCCATTGTCAACAGACTACTAAACTAATACTGACCTGCTGGAATGGATTGCAAATCATGCATTTCAGTTAACAGGAATGAAATTATGTTATGAAAAAATGTTACAATCACTATTAGTAGACAATTTTATAAAATGTAGGTATATCTCCATCAAACAATCAGCTTTTACAATTGTATTTTTTTTTTATTTATTTATGTATTATTTTTTGTGACAATTTTTTATCCAGAAGAATTGCTAACATAACAATATTTTTTAACATTGTACAAAGAAGAGATTACTCAATCTAGAACAGGCAAATTTTACTGCAAATAATGGGTTTTGTTCATGTCCAGTTCAGAGTCCAGTTACTCTGATGATTTAAATGGTATACATATCACTGTGTAATTGTGATATGCTGTCCAGATACCTGTAACCTATGAAATATTGCACATTTGTACTTCCTGTCCACATTATCTTACATAAAGTAATATGTACGGCACTGTTTGACAACTTACCAGGCTGGCCCAGAATCTAGTTCAACTTGGATAGATTTCAGCCAGCCTTTCTTTGTTCTCTCCCGCACAATAGTATATTTCACAGAAAACTTAGACTTTTTACAGTTCTCTATGGTATTGATTTGGATTATCTATAGCATTACGCCAAGTTAATCTCCTAAAAACTGCCTATTGCCATTAATTATGCAAATCATTTCCTTTAGCAATCAGAGTATTTATGTTATGAAAAAGTATAATGATATTTCTCAGGTATTACTCTGTGGTCAATTTGTTTTCTACTTGGATCAGCATGTTGTTTTAAGTGGCCCCACAAAAGGCACTGCATCTAATAACAACTGGATTAAATTGAATTGATTTCTGTGTTCTTAATTGCACTTTTCCTGCAACTGTTTTGAGTTCAAACATTTTGGAGATCCTTTGTTTTCCTTGCATTCACTTCGTAACTACATTAATTTCATTTTGACCATTGTCTGCCTTGCACGCATATTATTAATCTACCCAAAGTGTATATAATCAATTTAGAAACCAAGTGAGGAAACTGGAGGGAGATGAATGGAGAAATAATGGGATGAATTGGAGGGGAAATTAGCTTTTTTAAATGAGTTGATTGTGTACTGATTCATACTTTTGAGTCAAAGACTTACTTATTGATTTCCCCATATCTGTCTAATAATAATCCCAAGTGTGAGTGAATCCTGATGATATATGGTCCTTGTTCTGATGACTGTCTACACTGGTTACTTAGTGCAGGTATTATGAACTCTTGTAGCATAGGTCTGACTTAGTTAACGACACCATGGCTCTGTAGTCATTTATACATTAATCTTATCACGATCATGTCTGGGCACTGCCTGAAGATGAGAAGTGGGAAAATTTTATATGGTAAGGGCTAATTATATGTTAGGGAGTGAGACTGTCCAAATGATTGGCATTAAATATAATTTTTTTTCTATCGTGGTAGATAATCATCACCAAATTCTGTTGAAGATTAAATGTGGCAGGGTAGGCAATATATCCAGGGTAAGGTGGCATCTTTGGAAAAAAATCTTGTTAATTTGTTACATTGTGCATGGTACTAGTTTAGCCATCCATCATACAGACATGAGCAGTTATTATGTTGTTGGCCAGTGTATTGTAAAGATAAGCATTGCTGAGGGTATATCATGGATGGAAACCAGATATATTACACATTAACTACTGGCTTTGTATTCCGGCCTCAGCCAAGATAATCCGTATAGAATTTAACAGCAACACTGGCTTTCAAAATTAGATGAGTTATTATGAGTGGTAACTTATCATTTACAGCTCCATGAATGGTTTTGTGTTAAGCATTACTTAATATCATATCATTGATAAAACAAGTAAAGGATTGTTATCCAAAAAATCCATGGTTAGAAAATTACTATTGAATTTTTGCTTCCTTAATAAATTCAGCATTTTGGGTAGTTTGCCAGAACCTTACATTTCATATTGAAAATATTTAAGACTATAGACAATAGAATTGTTTACAGAACAAATATTCTCATAGGGACGATGGCCTTGGTTCTCTGCCAGAATCATGCCTTTTCATGGAACACTATCTTGGCGTAATTGAGTAACGCACCTCAACTCTCCCTGGGCAATAATGTAAATTACATTGGCAACAAGATAGGCTGAGATTCATGGGGCTCAGCACCAGCTGGGTGCCTTTATTAGTTCAATACACTAGCCTAGTATATCAGAATGTCTGCCAGGTAAACTGCTAGTCTAGATATGTTCTGTTATTCAGTTAGGGCATTCTGCACACATGTACAGTAATAGTTATGTAAAACAATGAGAGCATTGTTGAAACATGATAGGGCATACACAGCACACTTAAAGTTTGGGTAGATAAGCAAAGGTTGCAGAATGGATTGATGTTGGACTGAACTTTTATATAACTATAAGTGTCTGATTTTATACAAACCACCAGCCGCATGTAGTTGGTTTATGAGGAGTGCAGGTTTCTGTGTAGTGTTTGGCAATTTTATTCAAAAGTGAACAGTAATGTACAATATGATACCAGAAATACAGAATAATTATGAAAAAATCGTTAATATGCTTTTTGAAGTTATGGTGGTACCATTCTTACTTTAATTCTTTAGCTATGAACGTGCATTGCTGCTGTTTGGGCACCCTTTATGTAAAAATAACACAAGGATGACATTTTTATAGTTTCTGAAATAAAAGATAAGTCAAAGCATCTTCCCTCCCTAGATAGGTGCATCACACAGTTTATCATGACATACCCGCGTAGATATGTTGTGATCAGTGCATCTTAATGATTTGCTACAAGAAATGTGCCCTTTGCCATCTGTCTTCACACATCTGCCACCATATTGTTGGGTTACTTAAATCAGTACATGGAGAGTGGTGGTTAGAACTAGGAAAATGCATTAAGATGGAGATAGTGGTATTGATGCCCTAGGGAGGTCTCTCTTTGCCATCAGTATCATCTCTCTCATTAGTCCTGGTAAACTCCGCAGACCAGAAAGTCTTAAACCCGGAGCACAGATGGCACTTTTCTATGTGCCATTATCAACTTGGGAAGAGTCCTTTTCTTAGAACTGTATCTTTGTTTTTTTCCTGGGATTTTTCGAAATGAAAACATTTTAAAGCATTGTCACCCGATAGTCTTATCAGAAAAGTTGGAAAAGAAGTTCTCGCTAATCAGAAGAGCAGGCGTTCCCAGTATGACTCCCTTAACGTCTAGATTGGCTCATCTAAATGCCATCATTTATGTGACAGTTAATGACCATTAAGTAAATCAGTCAAATAGCTTTCCTCTCCATACATCAGTATAAGGTAGTTCAGAGTCCCCCATGCAGCCAGACATAGTCTCAGTCTCGGTCTCATCCTTCATGCTAGTCACACATAGGCTGATGTGAGAAATTGCTCGCCACGCTCTAGTAATGTCTTGTAACTTGTCACCAAGGTGTTCAAATAGCTCTGTGTGGGTGTGTTCTGCATATTTCATGCAGTGCTGTAGATCACAACCTAGATATTTAATATAATTCTCTGTTTAGGAATTTATGCATACACCATTGATAATGAAGTGGTATGTGTACTGGAATATCTTCAATGTTTAAGGTATTTTCATACCAGAGCACATAAACCTCAGAAATGGAATCACTTCAGCAAACAGCTACACATGCCATGGCGTTGTGACCCAAATGTCCTCCTCCTTTATGCCATTACAAAATCTGTTTGAACAGTGAAAGGTTTGCCACTGTACAATAAACATTAATCTTAAGGAACAGGAATTTGAGACCATGAAGTACATAAAATAACAAGATGTAAAAACCGTGTGGCAGTATAAAGGACGGGATGAAGTAGAACTGGTCCATATTGGTGTAGCTTCTAATGTAATCCAGGATAGCTAAATATACATGTACCTTCATAATGAAGGGTTATATATCTTTCTGAAATGTGCAGTTATATACATATGATCTATTTATTTCCAGTTTGTCCTGGAAGTTGCTCAAGTCTTTGCCATGCAAGTATGCCTGTAGCCTGCTGCTGCTGCTGCCACCTCGCTAAGCTTCAGCCTGGCCACTTGATTCACTGATAGTGTGCACCCTCCCGAACCCACAGCTTACAGTCAAGGTAAGGTCTCGTATTCAAACACCAGGTATTGTTATTATTAACACAAGACTGTCAGTCTATGCCACACACTGTCAGGATACCCGACACAGATCAGATTACATGGCTTACATAGAAATCATGAGTCTACATAGGAGGAAACATACTCTGGTTCACACACACATTTCAGTGTGATGGCTGATTGTGTGTGTTTTATGGAGTACATGCTTAGCTTCTCTGGTGCATAGAGAAGTGATGAAGGTTATTGTGCTCCAGCACACAAGTATGCAGAGGGGCAATTCTTTATGCCAAGGCTGATGTAGTTATGCCCCTTGTTGCCTGCGAGCAGTTTTGGAAGTCATCAGAAACTTGTGGTAAAATAAGTCAGCTGTGTATGGAGTGGTTTCTTTTAGTGCTAGTATATGACCTGAGATAGAATTGAGTTAACATAATGCGTTTGGCCTGGTGCTGCTTTTAGTATTGATGAAAAGAGATGAAGGTAGGAGGGTCAGGTTAATAGAATGGGAAGAGTAAGTGTAGTTCATTGTTCTCAGTATGCATTGCGTGCTCACCAAGGATGAGTTTGAAATAAATGAGTGACTTATTTACAGACGACTTGTTAATATGTAAGTCTATGCAGTAACCTGGGTGTACTGTGAACTCTTATGTACGCCCCCTTGTGGTTATCTAGACTAGCTTCAAACTTGTTGTTGTTTGGACTAGATAATGTTATGCTTTTGTTCAGAGTGTAACATATGCTTTCTCCTATTATAAGTCTCTTGTATGGATCGGACTGTAACTGATTTCTTTTATGTATTCCTACTTCATATAAAACTTGGTTTTTAGCCAAAAGTGAACCAGAGATAAGGTTATGCTGCTGAGTTTGATAAATGCCGGATATGGTTACTTTAAAAAAATTGTGGATGATCTTGCAGGTTCATTTGTTGTGTGATTTAAATTGACAGATTTGCCCATGAACTTTAAGCAGTGTGAGTGGATTTGACATTCTGGGTTTAATAAAACCAGCTTAGACTCCTTGCCCGCCCACACGTGAATGAGAGATTGTAGACTGGCAAATAGATTAACTAAGTTTTCAAAACAGACTAAAATCACAACATTTTTTCTTTTTTGCTTGTTTGTTTGAAATTTCTTTACCTAATGTTTTCTAACTTTTTATTTTTGCTTGCTTGTTTGAGATTTCTGTACTTAATATTGTCTCAGTTATTTATTAGTAGAACAATAGTATTAGTTGGTATATCAGGATGTATGGATCAGAATTTTAATGTGTTATCTACTGTTTTAGGACCCTTCACTGGTCAAAGTGCAATAATGGCGGACCTGCGTAGCCAAGTGATTGCTGCTAGTAGAGTGCGGAGTGGCAGTCGTGATGGGCTCGAGCAGTTCGAAACTAAACCTTCAACGAGACATGTCAGGAGTTTTCAGGCGGCAAAGGCTAGGTTTGATAAACCAGAAAATGCAGAAACACAAAATACAGATCCTGGATATGGTAACCATGTTAGTCGAATAAAAACAATGTTTCAAGCAAATAAAGCATTTCAGGATGGAAAGAAAGAAGTGCGCCCACGCAGCAAGTCAGAAGATGCACGTCGTACACCACTGGAACCCCGCCAGACTGCAGTGCCCAGGATGGGGGTGTCAGCACAGGGGGTTAATAATAATAATGAAGTTCAGAATACAGAACGCTCACCAGATGCCAAACGCAAAAGAATTCCAGACAGGAACTTCTTAAAGTCTACAGAGACCAAAAATGATCCATTGAAAACTTATGAAACAACGAGCCATCTTCAACGCTTTAATTTTACTCGTGCCATGTTTGCTAAGATGGAGGAAGAGAATCGTAAGAAGCAGGAACAGGAAGTGTCCTGGATGCGGCAGCATAGAATCAATGTCCACTCTCCACTACGTTCCCCAGAACCCTCCCCAAACAGGGCCGTCAGTCCTGCCTCGCGGCTGCGGTCACCCTCACAGGAGTCTATAGGAAAAGTGCGTTCAACATCAGATCCATCAGAAATGGAAAAGATAGCTGATCATCATGTGTCCACACATCCTCCAAAACGTGAACGCCTTGGCTCAGCAGACACCTTGGAAGATGCTAAAGACAAACACGCTACATACAATGGCAATAGCACAACACATCAACTAAACGATGTATCAGATAGGCTGGCAAGATACAAGGCAAGTAATATTACCAAATCAGAGGGGGATTTAACGTGTGCTTTTCAAAGAAGCAGTATTACTGATGATGGCATTCCAAAGTACAAAGGACCCAAGCCTTATAACCCTCCGCGGGGTATAGAGAGAGCACAACGACCAACTAGACTGTCTGACAGTGATAGCAGTCAGGAACCCTCCCCACGGGTATCAACAACAACTGTTACCTTGGGAACACGGGGGTTACAGAACAGGTTTAATAATGAGTCTTCTCAACCAAAACGGGATGAACCACAGCAGCCTCCACAACCTGCTCCGCGTCCACGTAAAGATAGCAATAGAGAGGAGGAGGACTCTAAACCCAATGCTCCGCAGGCAGTGGTCAGGTCGCTGAGTAAAGACGAGATCATGGCGTCTCTTCAGCAGGCAGATAGTTATTGGGATCGCACATATGGGATGTCTGATGGAAACAGGGACAATAAAGACAGCACATCACAGGCCGAGCCTTCTCAAGCCACCGCCACCACCAGTAATACAACATCACCGGACGATGTGAAACTGAGGCCATGGGCCAGATATAAAGCTCAAAGATACTCAAGAAGTTCAGAAAATGTGGACGATAAAGTGGGAGCCTCAGACTTGACAAAACTTGGTGAAATTTCTAACACCAGTGTGGGGTCATATAGGAGCAGTCTAACTGACTTGACTGATAGTGAACTGAAACCCTCTCCCGTAACCAGCCCAGCAGAACAAGTGAAACCCATAGCCGAACCAAAACAGCAACAACCAGAGCCTACGGAAACAACTACCTTTCAATCCTCCATTAAGATCACTCCCAGTAGTCCAGTCCAGGACAGGGGTTCTCCTGGCCTGATGGGAGAAGTGGTCAGTAGTGACCAAGAGTGTAATGACCACCACAGAGATCATTCTATGCAAGAAACTAAACCATTGACAGTGCAGGTGAATGGCAGTATTGGTGATCTAGGGATGAAGCCAGAGCCTAGCCCAGGGGCAAGCAGTGTGGATTCTATGACACCATCTGAACAGGAACATCTCCTGAGTATCAAGTAAGTCCATTTTGTTCTGCAGTATCAGTTCAGTTTTTCACAAATTGATACCTTTTTTGAAACTTTTCACTTTCTGTTTTTCTTAATATAGAATAATATTTAGATGGTAAAATCAAGTACAACTTGCAAGAAATATGTTCTGTTATTGGTTCCGTGCTTATTACTATGCTTTCATATTTAAACCATTCTGTATTGAAAATATGATTCTGAAATAGTTTAGTTGACACATCAGTATATTATATTACATAATGTGACTGCCTGTTGTAAAAGCTCTTTTGCTGTTTAAAAAATGCATTTGAACTTTATGTTAAACTTTCCGGATTGGGTATATGGTGTTCAGGTGAGAATAGTGTTGACACGGATCACTGGTTCACAGTGGTGCCTATATCTAAATGTGTTACTACTGACACTAGTTGGTCTAAGGTCAGCAGTGGTATACATATTCCACCAGTATTGTATTCCAAGTGTTTTATCTGAGCTGCTGGCAGTGGTCAGGAAATAAAAGCTTATAAAATGTCATAAATTATCCTAATAAAAAAGAGGTAGTGAAAGAAGGAGAAATTAAATACAAAAGTCTACCCAGATAGACAACGGGTTGATTCCTGACCAATTCAGTGCCAAATTAGAGAGGACAATGTTGTCCTTTTAGTGGGGACAGAGAAAAATGTTTTTATGGTTTCTGACAGCTCACAGGTGGTGAGGAAAACGTCTCCCTGCTGGTTCGGCTTACTATCCCTCAGGGAAGGCACTCATTTTTTATCGACCAGGTGTGTTAACTCAGTCTCCTAAATGTGTGATAACATCAGTGATAGGATGGTTTTTAAACTGGAAAACATTTTGTACATATGAACAATCTTATAGTGGACAAAATTCATATGAGGACAAAAGGAATAACCTTCAGTGATAAACGACTGTTGTTGAGGATGATTTATGAACACAACAGTTAAGCAAGATCACTATCAGCTATATTTTCTGGTTCTCCATTTATCTATTTGGTGTGTTAAGGGCAAATGAGAAAGAAAAAAATACCTAAGCCAACCAGTTGGAGTTGAGACGTGGTTCAATCAGGCTGATGCGCAATAAATTATCTTTGGTAAGATCATCCATGTACAGACCTACTGAGTGGGAAATTTGATATAAGAGTTTGTTTCCTCTATTCTTAAATTAGAACCAACAGACGTAAGATACTTTTTTAAGCTCTTACACATTCCTCTGAGATTGGCAGTAGAGTTAAAAGTCATTACCAAGCAGTTCATTCACTGTCTGTTCTGTATTCTTGACCCGGAATGTGACTGATGTATCTGGGATTGCTTCCTCTGTCTCACCTAACACATTTACTTTACCTATTAACATATTGTTGGGAGATATGTTTAATGAAAGTCACAATATTTCCTTTGTGAGGACCCATATAGGAGTGCTTGAAGACTTTCCAGGATAACATAGGACATCGCTGATAGTGTAGTGGAAATTACAATAACTGTTGCCCATTAATTTATTTGTGTAAACACAATTATGAGTCTGTTATTAATGGGAATGTTAGCCAACAGTGATGTCAGTCATTAAATCTTTGAACATGAAATATATAAATGAAATAAATGTAAGCTTACAGCCACAATGTTGCGGTGAATAAAATCACAAACCTTTTATTACTTTTCTGAAGATTGATTATAACTTTTTGATGGGTTGCTTGGGAAGAAACCACAAAGGTCAAAGGAATGTAAATAATTGCTTACAGTTTTATTGCCTAGAAGTATTGCAAGGGGGTTTAATGTACCAGGTACTTTAACTTTCTACAATGCAGTTAAACTGTGTCAGTTTATCTTTTCAATATGAGGACTATAGTTACCTGCTAGGTAAGTGATACTGGGCAGTACAGGTGCTGCTCCATAAAACTAACCCATTTATATGTGTATACCAGCCTGGGATGTAAAATTTACAATGTCCATTGAAAATAACTTTGTAATAAGATTTGTTCGAGTGGGCAGATGTTTATGAAAATACCAATATCCTAAGATAAACAGTCATTTGCAGTTTGTGATGTAAAGATGAGAAAATAGTTAACTGCTGTTGTAAACCTGCAGATCTCAGGAAATCGGCAGGTACTTCTTATATTCGTGTATGTGATGCCTATCAGCATAACCAGTTTGTGATTGTAAGGCAGTGATAACAAGTGATTAAAGGGCTGTCTCTGTCTAATGGAGGCCATTCATTGAGGCATGTTTGTCTACCTATTAGCTCCATTGTGGCACTGTCACATAGCTTGATTTGATCAGAATGGATGCGATTTTTGTGGGTGTAATTAGTGCTGACCTGAGTGCTCTTGTTTTACATACAGTCAGTCCAAGGTGCTCATTTAATGCAGTTTTGTAAGAAGGAATGTCTGGAGTAAATTGGCAGAACAGAGCTGTTTTACTAGTGATTCTTGGCAGGGATCTAATAAGGAATGAAAGTGAATACTGGGACAAAAATTGACTTTAGTTAGTGACCAAAGCTTCAATTTTCGCTCTCAAAATGATGGACACTGTACTTAGTAGATATACAAGTTGATTCACTACAAGGAATATAAGGAATACTAGGATCATTCAACTACTGGTGAAAAGTGTCCCATCCCACCAGTGAGCAGCGTGCTGACTTTGTATGTACTAGTAGAACAGTCATTTTACTGAGTGAGGTATGGCCAGTTCAGAGGTTGCCCATCCTTTACCAGTGCCACTGGCATCCAGGGAGACCCTGTATCGTATGATAGAGAGTCCACATGCAAGGCGGCGTATACTGACAGGGAACGCGGCACAGAGAGCACACACTCATACCCACAGGAGACAGCACACCAAAGCTGTTCATGGGTCCACGGGAGATATTATAAGGTACTTAACAGAGACATTAGGCAGAGAGTAAGGTTGGAATTATACGAAGTAGTGTGAAGATGTAGGAGAACAGGTACAAATGTGATGGGAGGTCATGATTAGGCTTGGCAACAACTCGTGTGTGCTGCTACTCATTATTACTTTTCACTTGGTTCAGCAGCTGAGATAAATTGAATTGATAGGAAAGGAAGATTTTTAGAATTTTTTTCTCCTGGGTTATGAATTGAGATCATTGCTGAATGCTCAAGCTTGTAGAAGTTTGAAGTCAACTTTTTTTATTTGTCCACATAATATCAATGAGTTACCACTAGTTAACTGACAGGTAAGATAATGTCCCATACTGTAAGGTCACCAACGAATGAATTATTTTGTTTGTTGTCTCCAGTGAAGACACACACCTGTCATTAACTGTGGCAGAGTAGTAAACAGCTTAACCGTGTTCAGACCAGTATATTTTAAATTTCCTTTGATCAGAGTCGCGGGCATGTGCACGCGGCTCAATTAGTTTATAGTAATTACTCTTATCTTTAGACGCTCTTTCCCTCTACCCTATCGCAGTAATCACTCTTATCTTTAGACGCTCTTCTTATCTTTAAACTCGTAAACTTAAAGGTCTGGCACGCCGGTTTTAAGTATAAAGAAGGCTACGAAGCCAAATAAAATTCAGTTTTGTGATTTTGTAACGAAACAGTGGTGTTGCGTTGATATTCTCTCTGAGCATAACTCAAGTCGGGAATCGTGTACCGATCCTTGGAACTTCACGTTAGCGTTAGAGCCCTTAGAAGTAATTTTATACCCGGTGGTATCTTAAAGAAATAGTAATTTTATACCCAGTGGTATCTTAAAGAATTCAGTACAAATTTGGCGAGAGAAACCTTAAATAACCAGAATACCCAAAAATCACATCTTCCTGTTGATACTTGCTGTTGTTTTATCTTTATCGGCTAATTTTATTTTCTTAGTCATGGAGGTGAAGGCCCCAGTGTGTTTTATTTATATATTTATATATTTATGGGTCAGTCAGTCATACAAGCATCAGAAAGGTAACCTGATGTTAACCTCCCTTTCCTGATTAATTGATCTGAAAAACTGGCAGTGCTGTCCTAGACTGACATGCTAAGTTAAATTGCGTTTTAAAAAATGCCATTTCACCTGGTCCACTGAAGGCTGTATTGAAAAATTTATTAAATTTGGCTATTATAATTGGAGATTTCATTTTCTGTAGTTGTTTTTTAGGATCACTTACTCATTAATTTTTACAGAGAAAAACCTCTTGTCCGAACGTTAAGTTCATATTTGCATCTTGTACCTGTCCAATTTGTTGTTTTCCAGGTAAATGGTTTCTTTGTGTCATTGTTCATCGTCTCGTTTAAGAAATTAAACCAACTGATCTACTCAGAAAGTTAATTATTTGGCTGTGGCTGTCAGCATAGTTTCAAAATTACATTTGATGTGAAGATGTTATTTTCAAATCGGCTTTCTGCGCATGTTGTTGTTCACAGCTCAGGATAAGAAATTCAATATGTTTTGTTAAACTGTGAAAGTGCTTATCTTTGGCAGACACACTGGTTGGAATATATCCATCCCATTTGTTGTGAAGATGTTGTGGTCCCAATCAGCTGTTTGTGTATGTTGTTGTTTTGGGGGTGCCAGGTGTTATTAAAGGGCCAGACTGATTACTGAGCGAGTGCCTTGCTCTGTAGCACTGCGCCAGGTGCAGCAAATTGACTCATTTACTTAACCTAGCACAGTACCTTCACTATATATTTTTTTTCTGAGGAAATGTCAGAAGATAAATCTTAAGTGGATGATCAATCTCGGTGAGAGAAATATTAGTAAACAGCTGTGTACTCTGTGGGTGTCATCAGAACAGTTCTTGCCCAATACACCTTGAGTCACCTGGTTTCTGCTTTATACTACTACAGCCTCTGCTATAGCTAAGTACTAGCTTACACAGCACTGGATCTGGCCAGGCAGGACATCACAATGGCAATTTGTGTGGTATTTTCACTGAACGCCAATTGAACAGCTACCGCTGTCTATTTACATAAACAATGAAGGATTTATTTGCCAGCTGCTGGAAAAAAGGATGTCGTATGTCCCCAGACTTCACCGATTTCTTTCTAACGGATATCAATCTTGCTTCCAGCCAACCTGATATTCTTAATGAAGAAGAGGCAAACGAGGTAGTGCAGCTATTAACGGAACGAGAGGAAGGAGACGGACACGAGGAACCAGACGTACCTCACACGGATGGAGACTTGAGTGGGGAGGGTGAGTTATATTTCTGAGGAATGATACTGTGAAGTGTGGTGGGATTTTATTAGAAAAAAACAGAGCAGAAAATTTTTATTCCAGCCAGTTAAGCACCATCTCCTGATAGGGCTTTGTTCCCTCCTTTCCACAGGTCTGACACAGTACATCTCTCCTACTGTAAGAGGTAAGTCAGCATGCTTTGTGTGCATAGCTGTCACTAGCTGACCAATGTGACATGTGGATGTGTATAGAGATATCATATTGTTGTCATTATTGTTGTTTTTGTTGTTGTTGTCATCCTGTCAGCCTGTCATGGTGTTGTCGCCCCACAAGTGGTAGATAAAGTTATGTGTAGTGTTATGAACAGCCACTAGTTATAGTTGCCTTAGAAACAATTTTTAATGAAACATTTTACTCCCATTTTGTATATTAATTACAACTTATATTTGAAAAATGGTATTTTTTTAACCTGACAAGTTTATTATGATTTTGGTTTACCAAAAGTGCAGTTTGGGATCAGTTTTGCTTCCTCCACAGTGAACTCAGTGAGTCACTTGCATGTAGCCTTCATATTTCATTGCCATACCATTACCACTCAGGCACAGGCATACATAGAGCTCTGTCAAATATTCTAATAAATTTTTAGATTTATTACTCATTTATGTCATATTATTAGTAAAGGGAGGGCAAATGAGGTCATGTTCAGATCACACGATTCTCTTCACAAATGCAAACAGAGAAATCGGAATCGAGATCCATAGTATATATATATATATTATTGTATAAATTCTCAGCATGGAAATAGAATTACAGCAGGGATGCAATGGTCAAACTTTTTTAATCCCAAGAACATGAACTTCCATCTCAGTGTGTATTTATATATATGAAATGGACCCATATTGAAGAGATGTGCATGCCTTCCAGATAACTTCACTTAGAATTGACGTAGAATTATTTTTTGATTGTCCACACTAGATATGCATGGCATGCAGATAATGTTTAATTCACTAGGACAAACTCTCATTATCTTTATGAATAGGTTACAACCTATGTAATATCTTAGGCTGTTAAAAGCAGTTGTCTCATATTGCTTGGGGCCGTGCAATTTTATAATTCTTCACTCTTTTTTTTTTCCATTTCTTTTTCCACAATGACCCAGGATGATCCACAATGACAGGGTCTTTGTCAGATTGTTCTAACCATGCATGTCTCATGTGTCTCTTCCAGCAGATCAAACTACCGTTTCTCCTTACATTATCAAAACTGACACAGATACTGAAACAGAAGCTGAGGACGGTTATATAGAGGATTCATTCAAAGACGTTACAGGTATAAGTAGAAAATAACCCGGGGTACCTTAAGTACTGTGGTTAACATACTAATATGGAAAAAAGTAGTGGGGAAATTATCTGACTTGTAGTTAATGGTTATAGATTATTTTATGTTCATTTTGTGTACTAGTATGCACAAGCAGAATAGTTGTGTGGTTTAGCCTAAGCAAAAAAGTTAGCTTTTATTGTAAGGATTTATCTCTTTCCCCATCTCATTGTGTATTCATTATGATTTTGAAGATATGTTCTCTTAATTATTGTTTTACAAGATTCCTCTTAGCCAAATAGACATTTCTGATTTTTTTTGCTGCTAGAACTATGCATCTGTAGACCCATTTTAGATCAACCTTTTCTCCCTCATTTAGTCTTTAATGAATATCAGCAATTCTTTGCTTGATTGTCTACAGACTTTCTGTTTGGATTGAAGTCGTTCCATATGATAAAGCCCCATACCATCTCTGCAAGGTGTATTTTACTCAATCTGAAGTATGAACTAAATTAGTTGGATTAGCAAAAGCATTCTGATTGTAATGTTTACTAGAAATATAGAGGCAGTGTGTAAGTTAACTGTTGACAACTTAAGATATTTAGACTTAAAATTGTACATTAGGGATTTTAGCCAATTTTATACCTTCAAGCTTGTTGTAATAATAGTTTTACTAATTCAGTGTACTTAAGGATAAATCAGTACTAGCCCTCTATTAGGTAATGGTATTGTATTGCATATTAACACAGAAAAGCTTTGAATGAGAGATGCATAAGGTGATTAGACCTAGGAAACTTCATGAGAAATAGTTTATATACATGAAGAGAATAGTTATTTTGAACCATTCCACATTATGTAATACATCAACAGGGCTTGCATATTATTGTATTGTGACCTTTTGGTGTCTTTTATTCATACTTGTGATGTTCCATAACTTGTTGTGAAAGCCAGTGACATGGCTTGAAGAGTTGGGCTATTCTTGGTCATTATAGGGGCAGAAATTTTCTCTACACTGATAACTCCATAATGGATTGTGCCATTAACTCGACTTTTGCTGTCAACATTGTGTACTGCTTTTGAAAAGAGTGTGCATCTATTAGTGTGTCTGATCACCACGGCTCATGCTAAGAGTCATTTATTATCACGGTACAACAATATGGCATTATACCTGTCTATGTGGAATGGACTCAAGAGGTTCATAGAGGAGTTAGGAGACAGGAGAGACACTAACTATACAGTGGGAGGTGAGGTACCACAGGTGTGGAGAATATTGACGGAAGTTATATTATTTAACTGAAGTATAAATTATTTTCCTGTTCAAGTTATTAGCTGATAAGGTAGGATGTACATGTTGCATACTTATATAACCTGTGTGCGGTAAGGTTCTCTCAGTGGAACACTGTTAGTGAAATAATACGTGCTTTAACCATCTATGTAGGTGATGTTACATTCTTCATGTAAATGTAGCTCAGGGTACTGTAGTTGTGTTCCTGTTACTGTAGATATGATGGCGTGACGTTGTTACTGCCCATGTAGCCTAGGGATTGTGTAGTGTTGTTGCTGTAGCCAAGTTGCTACAATGTGGTACTGTTACTGTAACAGTCACCTGGGTGCTATAGTGACGTTTCTGTAATGTTAGCCAGATGACTACAATATTTTTACTGTCACTGTTACAAAAGCTGTGTATTGTTTCTGTAGCCATGTTGGTGCAGTCCAGACACCATACTAATGCTGCTGCTTTCTTTTGTTTTAGAAGGTGACGAGGAATCCAACAGGATATGGCAGCTCTGTTTTGACAAATATCCTACAGATAAATATACTGATAAATCCAGTGCTGCTGACTCCAGTAGCCCCCAAGGTACATCCACAAGGCTGTTATATTATATACTATGGCGCTAATTTGGTTGCCCAACCCCCTTTCTTTTTCCCTCCCTTACAGTATGTATGTATGTAGCACATGTGCAGTTTGCTGAACTCCCTAAGAACTGGTCTCAGCCTGGTTGTGAAGAATGACCACCACTGACTCGGTGCACTTTCAGGTTTTAAGAGACAAGTTGATTCCATTACCTCATGTTGAGAAATGATTTTGTTAAGTCTTATGTTTGCTGCATACGTTTAAAGCCAGGTTGAGATCGGGTATTTGGGGAAGGGAAAGCGAGCCTCAGTGACTTCAGTGTTGTTAGGTTTTGTTTGTAGCTGTGTATTTCAGTCCCAAATTAACTGTTTACTGACCATGGATATGACCTATAGTTAACAGTGCTGTGTTCTCGGTTCATCTCACTGTTGTATATCACTAACACAGCTTTCATTGTATTGTGTACAGTGTTGGTGTTGTTATAGAGATTGTTTGTATATAGAAAGTAGGAGTTATCTTCTTGATATTTTTTTTTATTATATATAGGTTTTTTTTTAATATTAAGTTTTTGTAGTCATTTTGATGAAATACATTTTGCTAAACAAGTGTTTGCATTTATTTGCCTGATTTTAGTATTTTTATTCACTAGCTTGTAATAAAATTGACCCATGCTATATTTTAACTGCATGTTAAGTGAAATGATTAAATATAAGCTTTTGTGGTCAAAGTTTTCATTTTCATATTTTTATTCCAGTAATTTCACTAACATAATGTAATTTTAGTTCTTTTTTTATTCGCTTATAATTTTGTTTATTTCAGATAGTACTGACATATTGATTTATATACTAAAACATCTGGCCTTTTTGCCCACTTACAGCTAACACAGCCAGTCTAGACTGCAGTAACAAATCAGATATACCCCTTACCAAAGACTGCAGATTCTACATGTTCATCACTTTTTAACTGCCCTTCTAATGTCTAAACCATTAATTCAAATTCTGTGATAAATATAAATCTCCCTCTTTCTCTCTCTACATTATATACTTGTAGTAGTATTATGAAATAACCACCAACAGTGCTATATTTGTCACTGACATTGATGAGTCAGGAAAAATTCAAACAGGCAACTTACATTATATTTGGAAATAATGATTTTTTAATATGGCATGAAATATGACAGGACAAAAAAGGCTGCTGAAAATAAAAATGTTTTCAGAATTATAAATTGGATTTGGCAGGGAAAGATTTTTTTAAAGGTCCAGCCATCTTTTTGCAGTGTCTTCCGAAGTAAGCACTAGTACTTCACAAAGTGATGACGCATGTAGCGTCAAAGAACGCAGTCGCCACAATAGTAGTGGCTCAGACACCACAGTCACTGAAGTTACAGCCGCTGAGGATGAGTTTGAGTTTGAAGGTACACTAGCTAACTTTTGACACCATTTGAAGGTTTTGGGAGGCCCAAATTTAAATAACAGTAAATGAGAAAAGTGTTGGACCACGCCAGCCATATGAAACCAGCATTATTATAGCTTTGTGTTTTAATGTTGATTAACTTATCAGGCTGCTAGCATATTTTATAGTGAGGTTTGCATGCTAATGCGCATTAAACTCAACAGTGCCTTTGTGTCCAGCAACAAGAATGTGACATTCTATACAAACTACATGTAAAAAAAAAAGTGATTAAATAAGTAGCAATACAATTTCATGTGCGGCATATGCATTGCTAGACAAATGCTTTTTAATCACAGATTTTGTAAATGATAACCCCAGTATATTCATGATTAAAATCTACTATACTAACTTTTGTCTCCTTTGAGAACTGATTATAAGATGTTGATTGATACAAATTCCTTGATTTCAACAGGAACCAAATCTTCAGCAATGAAATTAGATATTACACAAAAATCTGCTGATATGACAGCAGAGACACCTAGTGGTATAAATGGGAACAAATCCGATCTAGAGCATGCAATACCCCCTGATGAAGCTGATCATGATGGAAATACTGCTGATACTGAGTCTCTGGCTTCCTATGATTACCATAATGATTTCCCAGGTACTACTGACTTAAAACTGAAAACATCAACTAAATGTCCCTGAAATCCATTATTGTCGTCCTAGCTCCGTTGATGTCCTCTTAGCTCAAGTATTCATTCAGTTTTTTATGTAGCTTTTTGTAAAGCTTGCTTGCAGTCATGTAACCCTTTTGTGGAAGTAATTTTTTTGTAGCAAGAGATATGTTTGCATGTTTTAATTCCCGATAACAGATTAATTTGACATATATGGAGCATTTCTTTGAATATTGGACCATTATTTTCTCCTTTAAGTACCAGGCTGTAGCACATTCAGACAGTTAATAAACCACAATTTTCTGTAATGTAAATGGTCTTATATCACTCCCCACACCTTAAATGACATAAGAGTATGTAGCCATTTCCCCACTCCTTCCTATCATAAGATATGGGTTGCTTGCCCTCCACACCTTCCATCACACAAGATACATGTTTATACTGTGATTTATTTCAGTCAAACAACCATTGGATAGACAGGAAAGTGATAATGTATCTCTTATGTCTGGCTTCTCCACAGTGACAGAGTCAGACACTACTTACACACCAGATGACTTGGAGCTAGATTGTAAGGATATTATCCAGTCATTTAAGTAATGTGATTGATAATCATTATTGTTCTGTTAACAAATTTCACTTCGGAAAGAAATGAAATAAAAATGAATACTTCCAATGGATGGAAAGTGGTTGTGGGGCTGGAAATAGGATTCAGATGTTGTTCCAAATGTCAGTGTAAAATTAAAAAAAAAAAATGAAGGAAAGAAATCTCATGTGGATTAATCTGATGCCCATATTCCCCCTATATATATATATATATATATATATATATATATATATATATATATATATATATATATATATATATATATATATATATATATATATATATATATATATATATAGTCCAAACTCCCACTGTACCAGTCCTTTCCTTTAAATGCATTATCAGATTGATTCAACCATTTACCTTCAGCTTGCTACATGTGTATTTTTTTCAGCCACAGAGACAAGTTCAATGTTTAAGTTATGATGTTCCATCTCATTCCAGTTGATAGCGACTACTTTGACAAAGTGAGCTCCACTCTTAAGGAGTACTTTGAAGCATTTTCTGATGAGGGTCTCTCAGACCAGGAGAACGAACATGCTTCCTCGGCCAGCCATTCAGGTAGCCACACTCACTACTTCCACCTCTGTCAATTTGATATTTCACAAACCAATCTGTGGGTCTAATCAACTGTAGGGGACGGCTGGTGAATGTGTAGTAGCTTCTGTTCAGTGATTTCAAACTTGGTGATTTCTTATGATCTTTTGTTTACATTACTAATTCACTCAATTCACTCTTTCAGGTCTCTTTATCTTGTTCTTTTCAACAATTCACCACAACTGCAATTTTCAACTTTGGGATTATCTTATCCTCTCACGAGAGGGGTTGCTTTGCAACTGAATTTGCATCCATAGAATTAATAAAATTCAATCAAAATTAGTTGATTGGAAGCAAGTTTCAAAGTTGTGGTGGGTTCCTTTGTTTAGTTAAATGTCGTCGTTTCACTTTCTTTTCATGGTGTAGGTGTGTTTGTAAAGATGTGTCCAATGGTGGAATGTCATCAGCAGACCACTTTGCTGTTGTACTATGTTAGGTTATGGTTTCTTTTATCATCCACTGTCTCATGGGATTCCGTATTTTTAGTTCAATCAGGGATTATTGGAGTTAAGCTGAAACATATTCGTCTTCATAACTGATATTGGTTATTTTTAGTTTTTATTGATAACTGATGTTATAAGTGGGGTACTAATCTCATACTAAGGGTTAGGATTATTACACTGCGTCTGGTTAAGCAAGGTGTAAAGTGTTGTGGTTTAGTTATGTTTATAACAAAGTTTCAAAAGTAGATCCTCATATAAGGGACATTTAACTTCAGGTAGTGCATGGACTTAATCATTATGTATTGATATTTTTAGATCTTCGACATTTTCTTTCGCAGTGTGGTAAATTTTTTATATATACTTTACGAGCCATATAAGAACACATAACGAAAGCATGTGATTCTTGTCAAAGCTTCCATCAAATTGTTTGACCAAATGCATCCCATGTTACACTAGACGCTTATAGACACTTGCTTCTGTACTAGGCATACCTAAGCAGGTTGATATTTATATACTGATTACTTAACTGAAATGATTACTTTAAGCTATGCTTTTACAAGTTGACAAGCTTCATGTTTTTAACACTGCAATAGCATCTGCATTTTCACCTTATCCTTATAAATCATTCCTTAAACTTATTTTTCTCCTTTGACTTTTTTCCCTTTGACGCTTCATTTGAGCAGTTTATTTTGGAGGTAAGTAAGACCCTGGTCTTGTACAATTTTACTTCCTAGATGTGCCAGTTTTGTTATCATTCTGTGTCTTCCTGACACAGGATGCTATTACAAGGGACAAGACATCTGACAGGAATATATTTTTGTTTGTTTTCTTTATTTTAACAATTGAAGTCATTATAATTAAGTGCATTTTTGTATTTTTTATATGGTTTAGTGTTTGAAGCATCATTAAAAAAGAATCTTTTTCAATGTGAATGAATCAAAGCATGTGTCCTGATATAAAGAAATGAGTATCATTTCCAATTTCAGTTCCAAGTAAATGTCTTAATTGCAGTAGCTAACAGTTGTTAAATTATGTGGAATCTTGACATGCCAGAATATTCAATTCATTTTCTTTCCTTTGTATTGTAGAGGAAGGTTCCTATGCAGAAGATGAGGAGGACAAACCATATGAAATTGAAGGCCTGCCTGACCACGATCATGATGACCACTTCTATCCTAATGCAAAGCCTCCTTCAAGAGTCAAGTTCAGTTCTGCTCCAATCAGGGTAGGTTTCTCTGTGTTTGGTATAACTGGGGCTTACAAAAAAGAGTCCCCCTCCCTTTTAACATAATTACATCTTGGGATCAGTTGAGCTCGTAATATAGACAACTACCTCTTCAAGTGAAATGGGTCTAAGATTGCGTTGTGTAGTCACACCTACTGCAATGGAGTGCTTGATTGAGTCTTACGATGACAGTAATTTCTGTGATGAAAAAGTAAAGTACAAGTTGTGAGTATGTTGATGGCTCTGGCTATGACTTAATAACTGGCTGATTATGATATAAACATTTTTTTTACAACATATCAACATACTCAGCACTACAAAGTGACTCAAGTGGTAATAGAATTTTTTTAAACTTTAACCATTTAAAGACACTTTTAGCTTAATGAAACTCACCTTCAAAAGAAAAAAAAATGGCCAACAAACTCCAGTTGCTATATATATTTGACATCTTTTCTCCAAATATGGCAACTCGGAACAACAACTGGTTGCATGTATAATATTTCTGTAACTTGAAAACTCCCAACTGTTACCTCTGAAGGCCATTAATCTGACCTCGCATAATAGCAGTGTAGCCATATGCTGGGCCAGGCTGTGGAATCATAGGTGGTGGTCACAATATGGCAGCTAGCAAACTACTAGTACATCATAAAATACATAGAAGACAACGCTTGAAAAATGACTGGATTTGTTGCTAATTGATGTGAGGATTAAGGATTTTAAAATGCTGTTGTAATGTCAGTGGTGACAAAGTTTTTTCACTATTTATTATGCAGAAGGGTATGTACTGTATGACGATGTGAATTTCTTAAAAATATATAATTGTGATTTTTGTAAGTGTTTTATATGTTAAGAGGTACATTACAACATCTCTCTCTCTCTTTCTCCTTCTCTCCACATTGAGATTCAATGTTATGTTATTGTTTTAATACATTTTTACCATCCCCTGTCTGAAGGATGATAGATGGAAAACCACATTGTGGTTGTTTACTCTTGAATAAAGTGTTTTATAAAGGCAATTGTTTATGGTGATGGCACTTTGTAATTCATGTTGGCAGTTTTAGAATGAATCATAAGCTAAGCTGAGATCTCCAGAAAAGTGAATGCACTTTGCAATCTGTCACATTGACTTCCATTTTTCTTCCAATACATAGAAATGTTATATGTTATATCAAAATTGGTTTATATCTGTCTGTCTTATAAATATTTTGATTACTGTTTATATATTTCAGTAAAATGTCTGACATAAATCCATAATATTTTAGTGCTCTAATTTTAATTGTACTTGTAAACATTGCTTTAATTACATGGAGAGTTAAAACCATGACTCATGTAAGTGTTTTATGAACCTTTGGCAGTTGATTGTAATGAGTCACAACAGCCCTGAATGCTTTTGCTATCAGAATTTATATGTGGGTGTTGATAATTATTGGTTTTATTTTTTGGATGCCTGAATATTTGACCTAAANGAATGGATGCCTGAATATATGGCCTAAATTAACTTGATACTGTGGAGCATTTGTTCTTGGTTTGTATTTTCTTTTATTGTGACATATCATATGAGAAAAAAAAAATAGTAAACATTTTTATATAAATTTTTGACAAGGAAAATGATAGATGAATATGCAGTGTGTGTGACAAAGTGTCCTTAAGGCGTTGATATATCTCCTTGGGCGCTTTCAGAACAGATGATCTGCGACTATTTGATCTGCTGACTAAATATGGCCGATCCCACTTAAAAGCAAGTCGCTTAATTCCTCGATGGTTTTCCCACTTCCACACATCCGTGGATCTGAATGTGCTTTTATTTGGGATAATTACTTGATATATTTTTCCTTCAATATGTTTCCTTTCAATTTAAGTCTTTTTGTTGTTGTTGTTGTAGTAATTGATATACTGCAAGGATATATTTTTTACCTATATACTATACACTAGTAGTATGCCAATATAATGCCTATATGCAAACCAGCATAGTAAGTGGGATTATTTTATATTCCAGGTTTTTTCCACATATGGAGTGAATGAGTATGATCGGCGCAATGAAGACATCGACCCAGTGGCGGCGTCTGCGGAGTATGAGTTGGAGAAGAGGGTGGAGCGTATGGATGTCTTCCCTGTGGAACTTGTTAAAGGTAACTGAAGTCTTCTGTTGAATATGATCCCTAACAATTCAGTATTACTTCCTGTCTGATCACTGAATACGAGAAATTAGATTTTGGCGCATTGACACAATACCTGTAAAGCGTCTTTAATCAGTTTTAGTTCTGACTTGGTAAATGAAATTATTAAATTTGTGAAGGTATCTTCTGAGTTCTCATGATTGAAAGATAACTTCAGATACATGAATTTGTAAGTGGAAATTCTTTTTTTTTTTCTTTTTTTTTTCTTTTGTGATTCATTCCTGTGATTATCTTTCATTCAGGTCCAGAAGGGTTAGGGCTAAGCATAATCGGAATGGGCGTCGGAGCAGATGCAGGGTTAGAAAAATTAGGCATATTTGTCAAGACTTTGACTGAAGGAGGAGCTGCACAGAAAGATGAAAGGTATGGAGTTTATGTGGTAGTTTAGCATGTGCTAGTTTCTTTTGGTTCTTAATTCAAATTGGTTACAGACTGTATAAAATATAGGGATATTTTGAAAAAGGAGAGGTGGAAGGAAGAGCACGCTAAATGCCTCATGATTATGAAATGATTGATGAACACTATATTTTCATTCCACATCCCATATTTTTGTATATCAGTGAAGAGAACTGTATAAGTGGCGGTCAAGGAATCCTGACAATGTGACAATTTGGAAGATACTCTCACATTACAGAGATGATAAATCAAAGGGCACTAGAGAACAAAAGTACAGATTACCATCAAACAATCAAAACAAATACGTCTAATCTCTGTTATCAGATTCATTTAGAGTATATTATCAGTGTGTCACTTGTACTAAAGTGGAGTGCTGTTTGCTGCAGGATCCAGGTTAATGATCAGATTATTGAAGTGGATGGGAAGAGTTTGGTTGGAGTAACCCAGGCCTATGCTGCCTCAGTCCTCAGGAATACCAGTGGTGTAGTAAGGTAAGGGCAGAAAAATTACGAAAAATGTGTTGAATTCAATATGGGTGTATAAAATTTATTTGGTAAATAGCCAGGGTAAGGGTAGCATGGGGCTACCCCTCCCCACCCCCACCCCCTTTAAGTAAGAAATGCATCAGCTATCACTGATTAAGGTTCAAACAATTTAGAGTGGGTGTAAGATATTGATCCCAGACTGTTGCTTATACAAAAAAACACACAAAAGAATTAGAAACTTAACAATTGAAAACTTTTGTATTTGCCCTTTTTTATGTGTGTAAATGCCCCCCTTTCCCCAATACTTGGTTTATATTCCTAGAGCTACTTAAAAAAAGTTTTGCCTCGTGCTACCTTTTAAATAGTTTGTGATGTTTAAACTGCCCCCCTGGCAGTGTGCGGAGTCAGACCATGTGTACTTACAGCAGCATGGTTCTAGGCAAACTACTGTTTAACATTTGTTGAAAAGATTAGCCCTGTGGATAAAAACTTATTTAAACTTCAGGTCATAAAAAAAAAAAAAAACTGGTTTGTCTAGACTGAAGACTAAGGTGAAGGTTTGGACAAGCTGTTCTGAGTTTACTAAATGACAACATGCTCAGGTTGTTATATTCATATTCATAGAGTGACTTACTATAATGGAACCAGAAGAAGTGTGTGTGTGTATGAGTATGGGGGAGGGGAATATATATATTTTTTTAACCCTTTATTATTTAGGTTGACTGTGTAAAGATCTTACTTTGTTTACCAACATCAACCATATCTTACCGCAGGTTCATGATTGGCCGAGAGAAGAATCCAGGACAAAGCGAGGTGGCCAAGCTAATCCAGCAGTCGTTGGCTCAGGACCGCCAGCGCGAGGAGATGCGCAAGCGAGAGCAGGAGCGGCTGATGCAAATGCAACAGGAGCTGAGTGAGGAGCAGGAGAGACTGGAGTTACTTCAGGTCCAGCTTAGGGAGGCACAGCAACTGGAGGAGGATGAGATGGAAGGCACCGAGGACCATGAAATGAGAGATTATCCTGTGAGTACCAGCAATGTTTATAATAAAACTGGATCACTGGTTTTTATTATTTTTTTAAACCAAAATTATAATAGTCATACTATATTAAATAGTAAATTAAATAAAGATGAGAATCAATGTTGCCTTGCCTCGATATAAATCTATTTAAAGTATGCCAACTGATGAGGGGTTTTATTATCACTCTAGAATTAGGCTATGTATGTGATAAAGCTCATGCTAGTTATAACATCAGATGAATGTTGTGGGTTGATCTAAACTGGTCACCAGATAGATGAGTCAGATCTAGGCACATTGGGTGTTGCATGTCCCAATGTGCCTGCTGAGTATAATTCATAAGAATCATCACTCATTCTCATCATTCAGTCTGAGGACCTAATTGGTCCACAGGTAAGAATTAACTCTACCTGATGACAGTTTGTTGTGATAGTGTACATTGTTCTTATAATTTGTAAGACATGCTGCCTAGTGGGCAACATTATTTAGATGTTGAATTATTATAAGACCTTCCTAAATTATATGCAAGATGGTTTTACGTTGAAATTTGTAACATGAATACAATGACATTAATCCATAATATTGATAATTTTATATATAAAAATTAACCTTCCTGATTTTGGAAATATTCTGTATTTATTCCAATGAAGATGTATAGCTTTGTATGGTAATTGTGTTAGGTGAGATGAACACAATAGCGTTCACAACCATGCTTGCGTTGGTTGCCACCTTGTGATTTATGAGAAGACCACCACAAGTTGAAACAGACTACCATTCATAACCAGAGAGCAAATTATATATAATCATCAATAATAAAAAAAAAATGTCATGATTTGCTGTTTTTTTTTATTGCCAGTCTTCACACGAAGAGGAAATGAGAGAAGTCTCAGAACCAGAGGAACCAGAGCAGCCTCCTCCTCCTCCCCCTCCCCCTCCTAAAGAAGCTCCTCCCCTTCCTCCTCCTCCTCCCAAAGAGCCTCCTCCAACCCCTCCTCAGCCCAAAGAACCCCCGCCACCCCCTCCTTCTCCTCCCATGGAGACCGAGCCCACACCTGAACCCCAGGTAGTACAAGTGGAAGAAGAGGAAAGGATAGAAGAGCCAGAGGTAGAGGACAGGTCACATATAGAAGTGTTAGATCTCCCGGGGAGCAGCAGTGAGGATGTCTCGCCCGAAATGGATCCACAGATCTTATTTGCCAGACTCAAAGAAGTATGTCCTAGGTCTTATATTCTCTCTCTCTGTATATTTTTTTCTAAGAAGAATGCATGCTAAATAGCCTTTCAGTGATATTTATGGTATTTAGTATTATTTATTTTTAAAAATCATTTTATCTAAATTATGAGATTTAGTTATTTATGCCAGGGTAAGGGAAAAAAACAAATATTATTAATAACAAAGATCTATTTGCCATTTAGCGCCCTGGGAAAATGAGCTACTTCCACAGTATATGTGACATAGAAATAATAACTTGCATATTTTTATCAATTAGTTTGGTAACAGTGCTTACGCAATAACAGGTAATTGGTGCAGAGAATTCAGTTCCAGGAAAAGGCGACAGTGAGTCTGGCCTGACGTAGCCTTAATCAAAATTCAGATGTATGCCCTTTACCTTTTAGGATATGATTTCCAAAAAAAAAAGCACATATTTGGTATCGAATCAACTAAAGGCATTGACAAAAATGAAGTGAGTTTTGGATAGAGATTATTTTTAAAAAAGGTGCTTTTTGGTTAAAACTATCCCCCCCCCCCTCCCCTTGAGGTCTTCCCACATCATGTGTCCACTGTCCCTGTTCCTGGCTGTTTGTTGCTCTATGTGTGTGTACTAACCTGTGTGCTGTCCATGCGTCTGTTGCAGGCTCAGTACAAGAATGCTGTAGCAGAGGCCGAACTTGCCAAACTAAAAGCCAAGGTAAATAATGATAATGATGTTTAACATGTTGGTGAATTAAAGCTTGGTGTATGCAGCATGCATGGGGACTAAACTAGAGCCATGGGAAGCTGCCGTACTGAAGCTGAGAATGGGATGGAGTAGGAATAAAACACTAGCATATTGTTCTTAGAGAATGGGACGGAGGGGATACTGCAAAATGAGGCTTGGGGCTGCTTCATTAGAAAAATGAAAGGAATGGAATGTTTAAAACTTGTTTCTTTTGTGAAAGTATGATTTTGCAAGCAGGTTGATTTGCAGATTTGTTTCTTTTATCATATCTTTTCAAGCGTAATCTTGTCTTGTGGAATTAAAAAGAAAAAATGTTTTAGTTTTATTTATTTTATTAGCAAGATTTGCACATCTTATTTATTATATATTTTTTATTTAATTTAATTTTATTTTATTTTATTTAAAAATGTCTTCTGCTCACTTTCTCTAACTTGACATACTGAGATATTGATAAAACACCAGTCCACAAAACATTGAATTTGAAGCAGCAATTTTATGTTTTTAACTTTTCTCCTCTCATTATGTCATAAAGAATTAACCAAAAAGCATGTGCATTTATAAAAGTTATACATATCATTATTATAAACTCCTGTAGTGATAAGAGATGTCTTGCCTACATGTCTGATAATACTTGATATACATGCAAAGGTCTTGTGTTTACATGCATTGTAAGGTTATTATTTCTGAGATAGCTGGAGTAGTGGTTATTCTTTGCTTATTTATACTCTGTTCACTTTATTTCTCTTATTATAATATATTTTTATATTTGATAATGGTTTTGGTTAAGTTTTTAGTGGACATCTTGTTGATTTAAAAAACTAGCCTTAGTAGTAATTAAGCTGGTGGTTGATAACTCCTCATGACTCAGTATTGCCATGTCCTCTTACTAACTAGATGATTCTGCTTGAAAACTTGGATGCTCAAAAGACTCATTATGAAAAGCAGAGTGAGGAATTGGCGGCTAGGTTGCGGGAAATGGACAGGGTAATTCAACTTAAGCAGCGGGAAATAGTTGGGTATCAAGTAAGTCTGCTGTAAGACTGTGTTTTCTGTATTTGAGTGTTCTTTGTTTTAGATGCTGCTACTGAATCAGGTCTGTATAGCCAGTAGAAGTGGGGCATGAAACCATTATGTGACATAGGTTTTACTTTTGACAACGGCTTGAAATAATTAAAATACCGAATCATTTGGAAAAATAAAAGAAGAAAGAAAGAAAAAAGATTTTCAACTGACCAGATATCATTTTTTTAGTTGAAGAAAGGTGCTAGAAAATTAGGCAAAATCTGTTTGATCAAAATTTGATTAATGTTAGTTTAGACAAAAAGCCATTGTCATAGTAATTAACTGCATATTAATGGGGTCACAATGTGGTCTTATACATGCTCGTAAGTGACAGCAAAACATGCATGACTGACAGGTATTGCGGAGTTTTGCATGATATTACATCTGATCTGGATGCACGGGGTGTGGTGTTTTGAATTTGAACTGGAAAATCCTGAATAGAAACCCAGAATGAAGAAATGACTTACAGGTTTCAGATTTTTCAGTGTAAAGAAAAATTGTATTCGAGACAGTGATTAGGTCATGCATGTTAACTTAACTACCAGTTTTGCCAATAAGGCAAATTACCCTGGCTATGTAGACCTAGTTAACTTTGGTGTGTTTTTGTTTGCCGTCCAGGAAGACTATTTACCATGAAGAAACTTCACCACCTTTTTGTTTCATGTGATACAAGGTTTCTGTATGATAAATTAGTGATGAAGTTCTAATTGTTATTTAGTTTTATTTTTTGAACACTTTCTATTTTTGTGTGATTTGTTTATGTATTAAAGTCTAATACCGGCACATGACAAAATAATTATAGTTCTTCAATTTAAACATCTTTATTTGGCCTAATTTTTCTTACATTAGTTCTGCATAACAGTACTGTTTCTTCTTGGTATGAATTGATGTAAACAATTGTATTGTCAGTGTTGATGTGGCCTTGCTGTGAATGTATAACCAGCAGTATAGAGGATAGTATGGTGATGTCAATCTGTCCATTGTAGTTATCTCTGCTTTCATAGAATACTGTCTGACAACAATGTGTAACAATAACTACTCAGCAGATTTTGTACCCTAAACATAGTAGAATCTTCTTTAGACAAATTAAATTACCCATAGCATTTAGCAAAACAGTGATGTTTTACCTTGTATATTTAAATCACAAAATTTTACAAAAGTCTCGTTAAAGTCATTGAAATATATTTTATTGAATGTTTGAATTATGGAGCTAAATTTACAACAATAGTGCCTGGGTTTAAGGTAGCAAAAAATATAACAATCACAATCTGATGGAGTTTATGTGACAACATTAACCAACATACCCACAGGTTTGATCTTGGAATATTTAAGAGTTTTTTCTTTATATCAGTTAATGTATATTGTTAATGTAACCATAGATGTAGGACTAATTAATCAAATCTTAACTTGGACCCTCTGCTTCAGAGGACCCAGTTACTTTACCATTATGTGTTTTGAATTGTTAAAAAAAATGATCCAAGGACCATTATGTCAGCAATATTTATGAAAACATGATCAGTTTATTAGTGCCATTTATGTGAATAACATTTAGAAGTACATCATAGCCTACTTTGAGTCATGATTTGTATATGCAAGATGAGACTTCATTTCCCCCCATTATTACCTAAATGCCACGTATGGTGTTTTTCTTCAAGGAACTCATTTCCTAGTCTTGTTTTATTGGCTTGATTGTAACTTTGCTGTATTTCTCACCAGGATATGCTGGAAGGCTCCCAGGCACAATGTATTGCCCTGGAGAAGAAAGGGGATGCAGAGGCAGCTGTAATTGAGAAGAAATATCACAAGGCCAAAAAACTCATTAAGGAATATCAGCAGAGGTGATTGGAATTGATTGTGTATTAGCTTGAAGTCCTCAGGATATAAAACTTGGGGCATGTTGCATTGATGCTCTTCCCCAGGACTACTATTTTGATTTGTGTTATTATACTACTTTATTTAGAAGGCAGAGTAGTTTTTTGATAAATTTTTTTTAAAAAGTGTCAGTCATAAGTACAGAAAGTCTGCTTTCTGAATAATAATAAAAAATCATAAAAGCAGGGTGCTCCTTCAAAAATTAAAGAGAAAGAAAAAGCATTAAGATCAAATTGATTTGGCTGATGTTATAAAAGAACATTTAAGAAGGTGAAAGAATTAAAGTATTTATGTAATTTCTAAGTCTTGTATTTTTATCCTTACAGAGAACGAGAATTATTACAAGACAGAGAAGCTAAAATCCAACAACAGATGGAACTAGAACAACACTATAGTTTATTTGTTAAAAAGTTAAAAGATAGAGTAAGTATATGACAGAAGTTACTGATTACAAAAAAAGAAAAGACATTCAATTGATATGAGCTGGATGCAAGTTTAAATTTGAAATCTTACAGTTATAAAAACTTCACTTTTGTCCAATTTTTTTGACAACATGTTTTTATGTCTTAAATTTTTTTTTTAATTTTCAGATATTCCAATTGGAAAACAACTTGGTTGAAACACAGCGTGCAGCAGGTCTGCCCATCTCTCTACCAAAAGACAACATAGCTCTCAGAGAAATCAATATACAGATGACCCAGGGAGCAGATGCACGTGAGTACACCAGTCCCAAGTTATTCCTTTTACTTAATAATTTTACTGAGTATTGGTAACAGCATTGAGTGGTGTTATGGTAGTATTAGTGGGAACTTACAGTATAACATTTTACAATGTCGTTTTTTTTTCCACCTAAAATGTCAGTTGTTTTGAATGAATTCACACAGGCACTGTTTATTTAGTGAGCACTTTTTTTGTGTGGATAATAAATAAAATTATCTAAAAATTAAATTGCTACAACTTGATAAATTGACGTATTAAGGAGGCTAACAAATTACAAATAAATATAAAAATGATAACGTGTGTAATGCTTACTAACTGGTGACTAATACAATTTACAGCCATAAACCCAGTGGTTGCAGATGACATCTCGGAGGTCAATTCTGAAATCTCAGAGTCTGACATTTCCTTCTCAGAACCACTCAGTCCAGGTAGGTGCTATTCTTTCTGCAGAAGATGCTTACATCTACTACTTAGTGGTCACACTTCTGTGTATATTGGTGAATACTGATGTTCAGGGTCAACTCTGTATAAGAGGCTGTTCTATTTCAAATCCACACTTACTTGTAGAGGTGCCTGATGAAAGTTATGACTGTGTGCATTATCTTAGTATAATCATGCCATGTATATAGAAGGGGGGGGGGGGGTTGAATGTTTTAATTATTAAGACAGATGGCATGAGCATACTCATTTCACCAGTGGAAATAGTGGTCACAAACATCACAGACCACTCATGGGACATTTGAGATTGAGCATTATTTGGCATAGTGATGTTCCTTAGCTTTCACTGCATTCAGAGGTTAACTCAACAGGTTCTTATAGATTAAAACGAGTGTTCACTGCAAGCCAAAAAAATTCTATACTGCATCTTCTGACAGATGTCTTGCTCTTTCGTTCACTGCTTTCTGCATTTTCTATTTTCCTGGCTACAGCCTCATCAGATGAGGAGTCTGAGGAATGCGCGCCAGTCCTCACGCATCCAGAACTAGAGGAGAAGCCAAAGTTCACCAGTCGCCTGTGTTTGCACCTTTCTTCCTCCTCCTCACTACCAGGTTCTCACTGCACTCATTTTATCTCTAGTTGATAGTTTTGTTAGCTGCATGGTCCAGTAGGATGACTGCTGTAACTGGGCAGTAGTCAGTCCTATGTCCTGAGTAATAAAGTGCAGGCCTTGAATTAACAACTGATGCACAACTCATAACATGTCTAACATATTATGTCTTTATCTTTGACTTGTCTTTCTTTTGCCAGTCCTTTCGGCTTCCTTTACTTCTACAATTATCATAGATAATAGTAGAGCACTGTTGTGTTTCTTTATACTGTTTCTTTACATGCATGTGGCTGCACAGAAGTAGAGATAGAAAGTAGGAGTTCACGTGCAAAAGCACATAGTCTGGCATAGTTACTAAACAAGTGACATATTTCATTGATTTGAAACTTAGTGTTTTAAAACATTTGAAAGATTTATATATATATATAAAAAAAGAAATTATAAGTGATCTCTCCTCAATATGCTTTTAGAAAATTTTCCACAAACCCCTACATAAGCCCAATGTCTTTTTCTTCCACCACGCCCTTTTCAAAGTAAAACTGTATTGAACATTCATTATTGAATTTGCTGGTTTTCACAAACTTCAAAAAAAATGAGTTCTTGTAAACATCTTAATTGTAAACTGTGTTGTGGATAATTGCTTGAAAATATGACATACATAGTGGGGCAGTATAAACATGTACATAGTAGTTACAACTTCGAAATAACCAGCTGTGTTTTACCTCTTACCATGCATGTTGTGTAGGAGAAAGGAAGCAGAGGACTCTGCTCTCCCCACCTGCAGTGCCACCTAGGGGTGAGTTCAATGTGCTGTCATCTGCAGTGACACCTTGAGTGAATTTCTCAAACTACAGCATATTGTGTGTGGTTATGTGTGGTGGCTTGTTATACCTTTTTCTTATGTTATTTATTCACCCAAAGCCTTCAGTGCTTATATTGGATCTATTAAGTACTTGTTAAAGATGTTGGATATTAGATGGTTTTGAATTTTTGTGAATGAATATTATAATTTATTACTTTTATTTTTAAACACATGAACTGCTGTTTAAGTAATGTGAAAAATATGTTCTTCAGAAAAGGATGTAGAAGGAAATTATATCTAAAAATAATAATTTTGGTCACTTTTTGAAAAATATGTTTCGAGTTGCAAAATTTAACTATATGATCCTTTATTGATTTTCCCCTTTTTATCAGAGCGAATTTTTTTTGTGTTATTATACATAAAATCCCTTATTTGTCAAAAAAATGAAAAAAAAAAAACACTGCTTGTTTTGGTTTGTTCACATTCTTAAGACCTTCCATTCCTTAAATCAATCTCTCTCTCTCTCTCTCTCTCTCTCTCTCTCTCTCTCTCTCTCTCTCTCTCATAATACTTGTAACACCTTATGAGACTGCAATTTGGCACTAGGGAAGTTTGCTTCAGCTTCACTCTTATAGCTTCTAGAACATGCCTGGTTATCACTACTCAGAGGTGATTGTGAGCACAGTGGTCAACTTCAGCATAACACTTTTTTATTATTTTTTTATTTGATAAATCATGATAAAGTTTCCCTCACAATTTGTGAAATATATACTCTGGTATGTGCACAGCATTACAAAAAAGAGGAACAAATAGAAGGTGCCATATCTACCTCCATTCGTGCATAGAGACAATTTAAAGACATGGTGAATTATACCCAGTTATATTTAATCGTCTGTGGACAACCATACAGTTTAAGAAACATAATAAAATACATGCTGTTAACGTTCCATCTCAATATTGAAATAGTTTACATAATAGTTCTTCCACAATAAGATTAAGCATCAATATGTTGTGTTTGTAGATTTTGAAGATGATGTAGACAGCCAAAGAGGATCAATACGTCCCCAAGAGGAAGAGGTGTTCCCCTCACTACCAGAGACCACACTCTTAGACACCACAGCCAGCAAAGATAAGGCACTCTTAACACATGTAGGGGCACTAGCCTCTAGGAGACCCCCTTCAAAACGGGGTGCTTCGCAGGTTAGTGTTGTAGAGAGAAAAAGGAATTGAAAAGAGCAATTTCCTAGGTGAACTTCATATTTGTACATTATGTTGCTTCCTTGTTACCCAACTTAAGTGATTTTTATTTTAAAATTTAAATCAGAATTTTTTTTCTTGGCAGTTTTCCACCATAAGCATAGTTGTAAAGCCATTTCCTCCTCATTTCTTACAACCCAGGATCAGGTCTGTGAATTAGTAAACAGTGGTTGCGAAACTCTACCAAGTGAGATTTTGGTAAAGTTATTTTTCTTTTGTTTTCTTTCTTGCAGTCTTCTTTAGAAAATGGTGAAGAGACACCAGAGACATATGTGGAGCGGTGGATCCAGCATGACAGGTAACCAGCATGCTAGAGACAGTTTTCTGACCAAGCTGCATTTTTTGCAGATTGGATATTGTGGCTGCTTTTATCTGGCAGATATTATTTGTTACACGTTCTGCCTGATTGTTTTGACTTTGATGTTCAAATATTTCATGATATGTCACAGACAGATGAGAGAGCTTGACTTTGAGCTTCAAACTGTTATGGTTGTGAACTGCAAGGAAGCATTTTGCATCTTGTTTTCATATGAAAGCACACCATCATTAATTTCATTAAATATGTTTAAATTTCTAATTCTATTAAGGTCCATTTTTCCCTTGTTTGCTTATAAAAAACTTCAGCATTAATATATATGGGTGAAGTCCATTTTTCAGTTTTTTTTTCAAAAAGCTTTTGAGAGAGAAAAAAAGGCAAAGCACATAATAATTTTTCCCTTGACTTTATATTGTTTGTCATTTGTCTTCATCTTCGTGTTCAGTCTAAACTGTTATGTTTTGCCTGCACAGTTGTTGCCATGTGTTTTTGCATGTAATTTCAGCGAGGACACGATAAAGAAAGCAAAGCATAAACGCAAGCCCCCTCCTCCCCAGCCTGCTGACACCAAGGTGGCTCCTCCTCTACCTCCCCCAGACTTTAGGTAATATCTCCATCACAGTACTGCTTGGCACATGCCATATATTTATATAGATCTACAGGCCTGCAGTACTACTTGGCACTAGAAATCAACCTTAACTCTTGGCATCAGAGGGTCAGATTGCAGGGCAACCCTACTCTCTCCCATCTGGTTGTCCTAGAAAGCAGAAAGGTGGATTTCTAGTGTGAGTTAGTCCTGATCTGTAGATAGCTTGTTCCCCTTGATTTACATGCATGTTCATGGACATACATATGTTCATACGCATACACGTGCATACACCTAAATATGCATGAATATGTTTTCACATTCTCCCAACTCCCTTATAATGTCTATCATGGTATATGTTGCATGATTCTTACAAGAATTGACTTGATTACTTTACAGTGCCTGGAACATGTGCAAATTAAATGGCATGGAATCAAGACAAGTTTATCATACAATTTGCTGCTTAAATAATGTGCTCATTTAATTTAAGACTGCATCACCCTATGCAGCAACTGTCTAGATAATTCCTAGTTGTAAACCGAGAAATCTTAATAACAATAAGGATTCTTTTCTTGTTTATTGCATGACAATATTTTGTGTTGATACTTGGTTTCTTGCCAGTTGAACAGTAGACAGGTAAAGTAAGGAGTTTTGCCTGCTGACTTACATTCTCCTATAAAATTTTTGATTATTCAAGTATAGGTGTTGGTGAAGAAATATTTACCAGAAACATTTTGTCAAGCCTGTTAAAAGTACTTCTGGGACTCAGCTGTTGCAAAAAACATATATCAAATAATTGATGATGGTAAAAGTGGGATGACATTTTGGCTGTTAAAATAGGTTGTTGATGTATAATCTTACAATCCTTAAAAAGTGCTAAGGTAGCATTAAAGACCCTTAAGTTAATTTGCCCTTTTTAGTTCTAAATAGGACTTCTTGCATTGAAAGGTGATCAAGTTGACAGGATGTTTTAGAGCATACTTTTATTTTTATGACTCTAAATATATCAGTGGTTTGCAATTTGACCTCTACACGACAGTTTTGTATGAGATTTAAGGGGGGAAAAAAAGAAAAAATCAATTCTCTTTCCATCCTCAGAGATACACAGTCTAACAAATCTGACTCGTCAAGTCAAGTGTCACATGCATCCTATGAGCCCTCCCGTCCACTCTTCCAAGGGTTAGCCTCAGAAATTCCTCAGAGGATCGACGACCAGGACAGTGCTCCAGGAATCACTTTGGTTTCATCTCGTACTTTACCAGAAGCAGGTAGGCGGCATGAAAGTGATATGTCTGCGTCTTGCAGCAAGTAATTTCCTGAAGAGTTATTAAATTTTGTGAAATCTTTGATTGTTTCAGTATCCTTTGTGGGTAAGAAAAGATATGTTATTCATAATTGTGATTATTTCTTTCTTTGTAAGATTCATATGTAGGTGTGTAAGTGATTGACTGAATGTGTGAATTAGTTGAGTAGACTTTGTGACAGAAGAATGTCGTTGATTACAGTGAACTCCCTACCTCCGCGGCCGCCCCGCCCCAGCAAGAACAGCGGAATAGCACTTCTTTCCAGTCGTCCCTTGGACAGTCAGGACAGTGGTATCACCCTCATCTCTACCAAACCACTGGACACAGGATACTCTAAGAAAGGTAAGAAGTCTGACTGACAGCAGCAAACAAGGAAGATTTGTCTTCTGGAGGTTCAGAATGACAATAGTGAGAGAGAACGCGCTGATGTGAAATTTATGGGGGAGGGAAGGAGAAAAAGCTAGAAAAAAAATACAATATTTTGACTTCCATTATGTATTGGGAATCTACATTTAAAATGTCTTTAAAAATAAGTGTCAACAAGTCCTTTGCCTGTCTCTTCTTGTCTTTACTACAGTTTTAAACTTGATATTTTTTAATATTCTTCAATGGATTATTTCATTTTGCTCATTTTAAATCACATCCAAAGTTAAGTTAATATCCATGCTTTTGCTTCAGGGTCTTACATGTTTGGCTATCAGTTTCGACAGAGGAGTGAATCCACAGGTTGCTAACGTTAATTTTATTGTGAAATTCAGTGGTTTTATGTTATAAATTAACAATGCATGATGAGAATGCTCGTAAATGTGAAATTTGAATGAAAAGAACTCCAAGGTTCAGGTTTGGAATGAGTTGCCTGCTTCCTCTGGTTTAATCTGTCTCGATGTGCATGAAAAGAAAGGCAACAAAGTCAAGTTTTTAAGAGAGGTAAATGGATTGACCAAATGTTGTTACAAGAAAGTGAGAAAATATTTTCATTTGTTGTCATATTGGTGAGATAGAAAAATGGAAAAAACAACAGGGAATGAAAAGCTGATTGAAATGAGAGACTGATGTGGTTTAGATACATTTATATCATGGATACGACTTGCATAGAAGAGCATGTGTTAACTGTGAAAAACCCTGTGTGGGCAGGTCTGGTGATGTTTGTGTGTGCATGAGATAATCAGCATTTTGTTGCCCTTTGTGGTGCTCAGATTGCAGTCTTCTAGGAGAAATTGCTTGGATTTTGAATAGGAACTCATTAAAGCATGGTATGCCTGGTTGTAGCATTTTAGGATCATTCTGTGAGACGCTTCTCGTCAAAGATGATTGCGGTATTTCCTTGCATAGGATGTTAATATCCATATGCAATTATGTTTCGTCACAATCTGTAGGGTGTTTTTGATGGATGGGAATAGCATTTAATACCATGTTACACAGGAATATGAAGCTCTAAATAGAATTTAGGTGTGCTATTTTGCATTTTTAACTTTCCGGAAGTGAACTGCATGTCTATGTCTGCATTTCTTGACACGATGCTGCGACAAACTGTGGAGTGTGATTGGTGCTTACATAATGGATGGATACCTCTTTTGTTATTATAAAGATAACTTACGAAATCAGTTTGCTCAGAGTTACTGGTTGCCTTCAGTTGCACCCTTGTAAATGGGAATCATGTATGTGGATGAGTGGCTGCTGTTTATGCATGATTGCTGTCAGTGTTTTTGCCATCAGTGTTACTAATATCTATACACCTCTCTAGACTGGTAAGGGTGCAGAGAGAGTTTGAGAGTTTGAATGTTTGTATGTATGTTTTGAAACACAATTTCATTTCCTCGTCTGGTAGAATTTTTTAGTCTATCCCAGTGAAACTTTACAAGTCAACAGAGTGGTGCAACAATTATTTTCAAAATTAATTATTACTTGAGCAAAATGCAATTGTGTCTGAGCATCTCCTGCAGTTTTCAATCAGTTTCAGTGAAACCTGACATAAGTGAAGACCTAAACATGTAATTGCTCCAGTAGGTAATCCACTCAGCCTCCGAGTCCTTCAAATTGTCTCTGTAATGCCAACTGTCTGTGCCTGTCCAATGAGGTGTTGCCATGGAGACTGTTGTTCCTGTTTACAAATTCCCAAGTGTTTTAATTTGTAGAGGGGGGTCTGAAAGAAAGGAAGATCACAGTATGATAGTAATGAATATTTTTACATTTTGCTGATTTCCAAGAAGTAAGATTGATCAACAGTTTGATTTATAAAGTGTGTTTGTGTGTATGCACATTTGTGTAAGTGTGTGTAGGTGAAGCACCACCTTTTTCAGTGACATGTGACTTGTTATATATTTTGTGGTTGGATAAAAAAAATAGACAAAACAATAACTAAAAAATTAAATATGGGGGAGGGGAAAGTAAACATTGAGTTTTAATTTCTAAAAAGCATCACCCAAATTACAGAAATGTGGTCTCTAAGATTANTTTTTTTTTTTTTTTTTCCACCTAAAATGTCAGTTGTTTTGAATGAATTCACACAGGCACTGTTTATTTAGTGAGCACTTTTTTGTGTGGATAATAAATAAAATTATCTAAAAATTAAATTGCTACAACTTGATAAATTGACGTATTAAGGAGGCTAAAAAAATAACAAATAAATATAAAAATGATAACGTGTGTAATGCTTACTAACTGGTGACTAATACAATTTACAGCCATAAACCCAGTGGTTGCAGATGACATCTCGGAGGTCAATTCTGAAATCTCAGAGTCTGACATTTCCTTCTCAGAACCACTCAGTCCAGGTAGGTGCTATACTTTCTGCAGAAGATGCTTACATCTACTACTTAGTGGTCACACTTCTGTGTATATTGGTGAATACTGATGTTCAGGGTCAACTCTGTATAAGAGGCTGTTCTATTTCAAATCCACACTTACTTGTAGACGTGCCTGATGAAAGTTATGACCATGTGTGCATTGTCTTAGTATAATCATGCCCTGTATATAGAATGGGGGGGTTGAATGTTTAAATTATTAAGACGAATGGCATGAGCATACTCATTTCACCAGTGGAAATAGTGGTCACAAACATCACAGACCACTCATGGGACATTTGAGATTGAGCATTATTTGGCATAGTGATGTTCCTTAGCTTTCACTGCATTCAGAGGTTAACTCAACAGGTTCTTATAGATTAAAACGAGTGTTCACTGCAAGCCAAAAAAATTCTATACTGCATCTTCTGACAGATGTCTTGCTCTTTCGTTCACTGCTTTCTGCATTTTCTATTTTCCTGGCTACAGCCTCATCAGATGAGGAGTCTGAGGAATGCGCGCCAGTCCTCACGCATCCAGAACTAGAGGAGAAGCCAAAGTTCACCAGTCGCCTGTGTTTGCGCCTTTCTTCCTCCTCCTCACTACCAGGTTCTCACTGCACTCATTTTATCTCTAGTTGATAGTTTTGTTAGCTGCATGGTCCAGTAGGATGACTGCTGTAACTGGGCAGTAGTCAGTCCTATGTCCTGAGTAATAAAGTGCAGGCCTTGAATTAACAACTGATGCACAACTCATAACATGTCTAACATATTATGTCTTTATCTTTGACTTGTCTTTCTTTTGCCAGTCCTTTTGGCTTCCTTTACTTCTACAATTATCATAGATAATAGTAGAGCACTGTTGTGTTTCTTTATACTGTTTCTTTACATGCATGTGGCTGCACAGAAGTAGAGATAGAAAGTAGGAGTTCACGTGCAAAAGCACATAGTCTGGCATAGTTACTAAACAAGTGACATATTTCAGTGATTTGAAACTTAATGTTTTATAACATTTGAAAGATTTATATATTTTAAAAAAGAAATTATAAGTGATCTCTCCTCAATATGCTCTTAGAAAATTTTCCACAAACCCCTACATAAGCCCAGTGTCTTTTTCTTCCACCACCCCCTTTTCAAAGTAAAACTGTATTGGACATTCATTATTGAATTTGCAGGTTTTCACAAACCTCAAAAAAAGGAGTTCTTGTAAACATCTTAATTGTAAACTGTGTTGTGGATAATTGCTTGAAAATATGACATACATAGTGGGGCAGTATAAACATGTACATAGTAGTTACAACTTCGAAATAACCAGCTGTGTTTTACCTCTTACCATGCATGTTGTGTAGGAGAAAGGAAGCAGAGGACTCTGCTCTCCCCACCTGCAGTGCCACCTAGGGGTGAGTTCAATGTGCTGTCATCTGCAGTGACACCTTGAGTGAATTTCTCAAACTACAGCATATTGTGTGTGGTCTTGTGTGGTGGCTTGTTATACCTTTTTCTTATGTTATTTATTCACCCAAAGCCTTCAGTGCTTATATTGGATCTATTAAATACTTGCTAAAGATGTTGGATATTAGATGGTTTTGAATTTTTCTGAATGAATATTATAATTTATTACTTTTATTTTAAACACATGAACTGCTGTTTAAGTAATGTGAAAAATATGTCCTCCAGGAAATGATGTAGAAGGAAATGATATCTAAAAATAATAATTTTGTTCACTTTTTGAAAAATGTGTTTCGAGTTGCAAAATTTAACTATGTGATCATTTATTGATTTTCCCCTTTTTATCAGAGTGATTTTTTTGTGTTATTATACATAAAATCCCTCATTTGTCAAAAAAATGAAAAACCCACTGCTTGTTTTGGTTTGTTCACATTCTTAAGACCTTCCATTCTTTAAATTTCCATGACACTCTCTCTCTCTCTCTCTCTCTCTCTCTCTCTCTCTCTCTCTCTCTCTCTCTCTCTCATAATACATGTAACACCTTATGAGACTGCAATTTGGCACTAGGGAAGTTTGCTTTAGCTTCACTCTTATAGCTTCTAGAACATGCCTGGTTATCACTACTCAGAGGTGATTGTGTGCACAGTGGTCAACTTCAGCATAACACTTTATTATTATTTTTTTATTTGATAAATCATGATAAAATTTCCCTCACAATTTGTGAAATATATACTCTGGTATGTGCACAGCATTACAAAAAGAGGTACAAATAGAAGGTTCCAAATCTACCTCCATTCATGCATAGAGACAATTTAAAGACATGGTGAATTATACCCAGTTATATTTAATCGTCTGTGGACAACCATACGGTTTAAGAAACATAATAAAATACATGCTGTTGACGTTCCATCTCAATATTGAATTAGTTTACATAATAGTTCTCCCACAATAGGATTAAGCATCAATATGTTGTGTTTATAGATTTTGAAGATGATGTAGACAGCCAAAGAGGATCAATACGTCCCCAAGAGGAAGAGGTGTTCCCCTCACTACCAGAGACCACACTCTTAGACACCACAGCCAGCAAAGATAAGGCACTCTTAACACATGTAGGGGCACTAGCCTCTAGGAGACCCCCTTCAAAACGGGGTGCTTCGCAGGTTAGTGTTGTAGAGACAAAAAGGAATTGAAAAGAGCAATTTCCTAAGTGAACTTCATAATTGTACCATATGCTGCTTCCTTGTTACCCAATTTAAGTGATTTTTATTTTAAGATTTAAATCAGAAATTTAATGTTTTTTTCTTAGCAGTTTTCCACCATAAGCAGCTCCCCAGACCCATAGTTGTAAAGACACCGAGCCATTTCCTCCTCATTTCTTACAACCCAGGATCATGTCTGTGAATTAGTAAACAGTGGTTTTCTTTCTTGCAGTCTTCTTTAGAAAATGGTGAAGAGACACCAGAGACATATGTGGAGCGGTGGATCCAGCATGACAGGTAACCAGCATGCTACAGACAGTTTTCTGACCAAGATTGGATATTGTGGCTGCTTTTATCTGGCAGATATTATTTGTTACACGTTCTGCCTGATTGTTTTGACTTTGATGTTCAAATATTTCATGATATGTCACAGACAGATAAGAGAGCTTGACTTTGAGCTTCAAACTGTTATGGTTGTGAACTGCAAGGAAGCATTTTGCATCTTGTTTTCATATGAAAGCACACCATCATTAATTTCATTAAATATGTTTAAATTTCTAATTCTATTTAAGGTCTATTTTTCCCTTGTTTGCTTATAAAAAATTTCATCATTAATATATAAATGGGTAAAGTCCATTTTTCAGTTTTTCTCAAAAAGCTTTTGAGAGAGAAAAAAAGGCAAAGCACATAATAATTTTTCCCTTGACTTTATATTGTTTGTCATTTGTCTTCATCTTCGTGTTCAGTCTAAACTGTTATGTTTTGCCTGCACAGTTGTTGCCATGTGTTTTTGCATGTAATTTCAGCGAGGACACAATAAAGAAAGCAAAGCATAAACGCAAGCCCCCTCCTCCCCAGCCTGCTGACACCAAGGTGGCTCCTCCTCTACCTCCCCCAGACTTTAGGTAATATCTCCATCACAGTACTGCTTGGCACATGCCATATATTTATATAGATCTACAGGCCTGCAGTACTACTTGGCACTAGAAATCAACCTTAACTATTGGCATCAGAGGGTCAGATTGCAGGGCAACCCTACTCTCTCCCATCTGGTTGTCCTAGAAAGCAGAAAGGTGGATTTCTAGTGTGAATTAGTCCTGATCTGTAGATAGCTTATTCCCCTTGATTTACATGCATGTTCATGGACATACATATGTTCATACGCATACACATGCATACATCTAAATATGCATGAATATGTTTTCACATTCTCCCAACTCCCTTATAATGTCTATCATGGTATATGTTGCATGATTCTTACAAGAACTGACTTGATTACTTTACAGTGCCTGGAACATGTGCAAATTAAATGGCATGGAATCAAGACAAGTTTATCATACAATTTGCTGCTTAAATAATGTGCTCATTTAATTTAAGACTGCATCACCCTATGCAGCAACTGTCTAGATAATTCCTAGTTGTAAACCGAGAAATCTTAATAACAATAAGGATTCTTTTCTTGTTGATTGCATGACAATATTTTGTGTGTTGATACTTGGTTTCTTGCCAGTTGAACAGTAGACAGGTAAAGTAAGGAGTTTTGCCTGCTGAATTACATTCTCCTATAAAATTTTTGATTATTCAAGTATAGGTATTGGCGAAGAAATATTTTCCAGAAACATTTTGTCAAGCCTGTTAAAAGTACTTTTGGGACTCAGCTGTTGCAAAAAACATATATCAAATAATTGATGATGGTAAAAGTGGGATGACATTTTGGCTGTTAAAATAGGTTGTTGATGTATAATCTTACAATCCTTAAAAAGTGCTAAGGTAGCATTAAAGACCCTTAAGTTAATTTGCCCTTTTTAGTTCTAAATAGGACTTCTTGCATTGAAAGGTGATCAAGTTGACAGGATGTTTTAGATCATACTTTTATTTTTATGACTCTAAATATATCAGTGGTTTGCAATTTGACCTCTACACGACAGTTTTGTATGAGATTTAAGGGGGGAAAAAAAGAAAAAATCAATTCTCTTTCCATCCTCAGAGATACACAGTCTAACAAATCTGACTCGTCAAGTCAAGTGTCACATGCATCCTATGAGCCCTCCCGTCCACTCTTCCAAGGGTTAGCCTCAGAAATTCCTCAGAGGATAGACGACCAGGACAGTGCTCCAGGAATCACTTTGGTTTCATCTCGTACTTTACCAGAAGCAGGTAGGCGGCATGAAAGTGATATGTCTGCGTCTTGCAGCAAGTAATTTCCTGAAGAGTTTTTAAATTTTGTGAAATCTTTGATTGTTTCAGTATCCTTTGTGGGTAAGAAAAGATATGTTATTCATAATTGTGATTATTTCTTTCTTTGTAAGATTCATATGTAGGTGTGTAAGTGATTGACTGAATGTGTGAATTAGTTGAGTAGACTTTGTGACAGAAGAATGTCGTTGATTACAGTGAACTCCCTACCTCCGCGGCCGCCCCGCCCCAGCAAGAACAGCGGAATAGCACTTCTTTCCAGTCGTCCCTTGGACAGTCAGGACAGTGGTATCACCCTCATCTCTACCAAACCACTGGACACAGGATACTCTAAGAAAGGTAAGAAGTCTGTCTGACAGCAGCAAACAAGGAAGATTTGTCTTCTGGAGGTTCAGAATGACAATAGTGAGAGAGAACGCGCTGATGTGAAATTTATGGGGGAGGGAAGGAGAAAAAGCTAGAAAAAAATACAATATTTTGACTTCCATTATGTTTTGGGAATCTACATTTAAAATGTCTTTAAAAATAAATGTCAATAAGTCCTTTGCCTGTTTCTTCTTGTCTTTACTACAGTTTTAAACTTGATAGTTTTTAATATTCTTCAATGGATTATTTCATCTTGCTCATTTCAAATCACATCCAAAGTTAAGTTAATATCCATGCTTTTGCTTCAGGGTCTTACATGTTTGGCTATCAGTTTCGACAGAGGAGTGAATCCACAGGTTGCTAACGTTAATTTTATTGTGAAATTCAGTGGTTTTATGTTATAAATTAACAATGCATGATGAGAATGCTCGTAAATGTGAAATTTGAATGAAAAGAACTCCAAGGTTCAGGTTTGGAATGAGTTGCCTGCTTCCTCTGGTTTAATCTGTCTCAATGTGCATGAAAAAAAAGGCAACAAAGTCAAGTTTTTAAGAGAGGTAAATGGATTGACCAAATGTTGTTACAAGAAAGTGAGAAAATATTTTCATTTGTTGTCATATTGGTGAGATAGAAAAATGGAAAAAACAACAGGGAATGAAAAGCTGATTGAAATGAGAGACTGATGTGGTTTAGATACATTTATATCATGGATACGACTTGCATAGAAGAGCATGTGTTAACTGTGAAAACCTTGTGTGGGCAGGTCTGGTGATGTTTGTGTGTGCATGAGATAATCAGCATTTTGTTGCCCTTTGTGGTGCTCAGATTGCAGTCTTCTAGGAGAAATTGCTTGGATTTTGAATAGGAACTCATTAAAGCATGGTATGCCTGGTTGTAGCATTTTAGGATCATTCCGTGAGACGCTTCTCGTCAAAGATGATTGCGGTATTTCCTTGCATAGGATGTTAATATCCATATGCAATTATGTTTCGTCACAATCTGTAGGGTGTTTTTGATGGATGGGAATAGCATTTAATACCATGTTACACAGGAATATGAAGCTCTAAATAGAATTTAGGTGTGCTATTTTGCATTTTTAACTTTCCGGAAGTGAACTGCATGTCTATGTCTGCATTTCTTGACACGATGCTGCGACAAACTGTGGAGTGTGATTGGTGCTTACATAATGGATGGATTTCTCTTTTGTTATTATAAAGATAACTTACGAAATCAATTTGCTCAGAGTTACCGGTTGCCTTCATTTGCACCCTTCTAAAAGGGAATCGTGTATGTGGATGAGTGGCTGCTGTTATGCATGATTGCTGTCAGTGTTTTGCCATCAGTGTTACTAATATCTATACACCTCTCTAGACTGGTAAGGGTGCAGAAAGAGAGTTTGAATGTTTGTATGTGTGTTTTGAAACACAATTTCATTTCCTCGTCTGGTAGAATTTTTTAGTCTATCCCAGTGAAACTTTACAAGTAAACAGAGTTGTGCAACAATTATTTTCAAAATTAATTATTACTTGAGCAAAATGCAATTGTGTCTGAGCATCTCCTGCAGTTTTCAATCAGTTTCAGTGAAACCTGACATAAGTGAAGACCTAAACATGTAATTGCTCCAGTAGGTAATCCACTCAGCCTCTGAGTCCTTCAAATTGTCTCTGTAATGCCAACTGTCTGTGCCTGTCCAATGAGGTGTTGCCATGGAGACTGTTGTTCCTGTTTACAAATTCCCAAGTGTTTTAATTTGTAGAGGGGGTCTGAAAGAAAGGAAGATCACAGTATGATAGTAATGAATATTTTTACATTTTGCTGATTTCCAAGAAGTAAGATTGATCAACAGTTTGATTTATAAAGTGTGTTTGTGTGTATGCACATTTGTGTAAGTGTGTGTAGGTGAAGCACCACCTTTTTCAGTGACATGTGACTTGTTATATATTTTGTGGTTGGATAAAAAAATAGACAAAACAATAACTAAAAAATTAAATATGGGGGAGGGGAAAGTAAACATTGAGTTTTAATTTCTAAAAAGCATCACCCAAATTACAGAAATGTAGTCTCTAAGATAACAACTTTCTTCATATGAAAATGAAATTGTATTTTACTCAGCCAGTCTTATCGTTGTGAGATTTTGTTGATTGCCTAAAAATATTGCACTACGACTTGTGGTTTGTGCTTTTTGCACATATCACAGTGAATTATTTATTTATTTATTTATTTTTGTGACCAATTGTTAGTGATTGTTCTGTGCAAATGGTTGAGAAATTGAAAAATTTTTCTTGTCAAAGTAAATATTTTTAGCATTTATCAAATGTGTAATAACCTAGCATGAGCTTTGAGTGGTGGACAAACAAAATCAGTCGCTTTCATGATAGAACACATTGGTACCACCTACTTCTATTTTCTATAATTTTGTTTAATTTTAAAGTTTTATTTAAATTCTGGGAAAGTCCTTATTTTTCAAATTATTTTAACATAGATAAACCTTTAAAGTATGTATAGTAGTCCCTCCCCCCCCCCCATCCATGTATTTGAGGTTTGACAAAATTCATTTGAAGTCGGCATGTGTTTGCCACATCGTACACACAATCTACTTAAGTTTATCAGAAAGATAAAAACTGAGTGTGACCTTCTAAGTGTTCAGCATATCTGTCAGAGATATGTGTTAAGTCAGTTCTTCAGTTTGAGAAACCCTCACCTTCTCTTTCCTTCTACACCAAGGGAAGAGGGAAAATCACTGCCAGACTGTGTATTTTATGTATGTAAATGGAGGGAATGAGTTGGAGATGATAATGCAGGTCCTCTCAGAAAGTTAAAGTTGAAAGCAGAAGATGTGATCATTGTTAATTGATGTTTTATCAAAGATGATAAGAAGAGAGGAGCATTTAAAAATAGGCCACAAGTCAATTTGTTAAGGACTGAGCTTGAAGTTTCAAACTGCCACAAATGTGTTTTGGCATCACTGATGTGTTTTTAACTTGGTTTTCTTTTAGACTCCAGTACCAGTGAATCTAGTCCATACTCTTCATCCAATATGTTGACAGAGCTGGATGATGAAAGTCGCTCCCAGACCTACTCTTTTCACACTGCTGCCTCATTGCCATCTTTACAGTCCACAGAGGTATGGGTTTATACACCTCTCTCTCTCTCTCTCTCTCTTTCTCTCTCTCTCTCTCATGAACATTATGATTTAGTCATTTTTAAGATACATTTTAACCAGTGCATTTAAGGTCTACTCCTTAGACAGGCATTTGATGATAACTGGTATACTATATAACATACGGTGTTATTTTCCCCATTACACATGTTATATTGTTTCCCTGTAGGATCTTTCATCCATTAATCCTCGTAAGATGAACCAGTGGCAGTCGGGTCCAGTAAGTGAGTGGTCAGTGGACCAGGTGTGCACGTGGCTCATGGCTTTGGAACTAGAGCAATACATAGCAGAGTTTAATGCCAAAGCAATTGATGGGACACAGCTGTTACAGTTGGATGGAACCAAACTTAAGGTAATACAACCTGAAATATTAATTGTGGCCTTACGGCAAATACCAGTGAAATGCAGTTCATTTTTTGAGTTTGCTGTTTCTAATTTGGGATAATAAATTATTGTGTGCTGGTGGCTCAAAGGGCCAGTAGACTTAAGGCAGTTTTTTTTTTTTTTGGCATGGACATTGAAGATGTGAGGGTAGCTAGAGAATTGGTTTCTCTCTGAATATGCTCATGACAGGGAATATTTTTGTTTTGCTCAAATTATGATATTTTGTGGTTTTCTGTTAGTCATTTTGTTTTTATGTACAGACACNTTTTTTTAATTAAACAGTGCCTATCACTGCATACCTTCTTCCCAAAATACCTGTGTCATTGTCTTGGCATTTTTCATTCATTGAAGTCGGCCTAAATGTCACTACATGTGAAATAGGCTGCTTGATTTGATCTAATTCATGGCAGTTTTACTTAACTTTGTAAAAGAAAGTGTCCAAACATTATTTGCAACAGCCTTATTTTAGAAGATAAAATATTCTTTTCTTCTGTCGTACTGCATGTGGTCTAGACTCTGAGCAATCTCCAACTGATTCCACTCAACAATAAAGTGATCAAGTTATCAGTAATTTCATAGGCCCAGAGAGAGTGAGAATCCAGATCATGGTATTCTTACTCATAGTTTAGGTGAGGCACAAATCTACTAGCACAAAGTGTGTGCCTTATAGGGATTAAAATGATCAAACAAGTAGGGAGGAAATTGTCTTCTTGCTGTTAAGTCATTTTTTAAAAATAATCGACAAATAAACTAAAAGCAGTAGAATGTGATACAACAATGCCTATGGTTCAAAGGTTGTCAGATGTACATAATTCCTATTTAATACATTGTATTATATTATGCTGTACTAACATTGTTATTTATTGCCAATATTTTACCATGAAAATGTGCAAATGGTCGATTAATTGGTTCTTGAACATCAGTGAGAGAGAGAGAGAGACGCAATCAGTGAATGCATTTCATATTCAAGTACATATGTAACAGTTGGTGATATTAAAATTAATTGTAGATAATGTAATTTGGTATTAGTATGTTCACATTAGTCACCCCCATGTGATTATTATGATCATTTCTTTTATGTACTTTAAAATATTGAACTTCTTGTAGTGTTGTTTTATCCAACAAGAGAATGATAAGAGCTCTTGTAAATGTATGTCTGGCTCTACATTAGTGAGCAAATGATGATAATCAGTTTGAAACTGAAGTCTTGATCATCTTAAGTGAATGTATGCGGTATCATCAACTTCTATGTAGACTACTGTAAGCAAGGGCAGGTTGTGATTAGTCAGAGGGGCAGATTTTAATTAGGAATGGATGGGTAAATATGTATGATATGGAATGCAGTGGGGAAGGCAGAATCTTGTACACCTGTTGAATGCTTTTGGACCTGTTAACAGCCACACAGATGCTGTAGAGTGCTGCTGGACACAGATGTTTGTTTCAAGCAAGCTCCATTTGAACTTGGCTCATACAGTGCAAGCCTGTATCCAGATATTTCAAAGGAGGGGTTCTATTTCTAAAAAAAAAAGGTGTACCTTTTTATCCTTTTAGCTGATTCAACTTGAAAAATGATATATTACCTATATCAAGCTTTGAGAGCAGTAGTTTCGAATCATATCCCCCCTTCCCTGCCTATGGGCCTGCAATGTAATTTTAAATGCTTATACTACATGAGATTGTGAATCCATTTTTTTATTTTATTATTTTTTTAATGCTAATTTAATTCAGATCAGCTAAGTCCAGGTTCAGATAGGATTTGCACCAACTTTCTATGTGTAAACTGGTATTTTCTCAGCAGTCTGTGTCCACAGGGAGAGAGGCATACTGGTCAGTGTTAAGGTGCCTTGGCCTGTGATAAGGGAAAACGTGGAAATTGCCATCAAGTTTTAATATCCTGTTGAAGCAAGGAGGGTTTTTTCTATGATATGAATTAAGCAATATGATGACCTGGTGTCTTTCCAACATTGATAATTATTAGGATTTTCTATTATGTGCATCAAGATTTTCAAATTATGTGTATATTTTTTTTCCTGGTTTTACTGATGTTTCATTACAAAGGCATCTGAACAAGTTTTGTAAAATCCTCATCACGGTCTATGTTAGCTATTAATGTAATAAGAGATGCAGTGCTCAGTGCAGGGCTATCAAAACATTGATACAATGTATCCTTAGGTTACTGGAATACCTTTGAGCCTTATGCATCTCAAATTTATATTTAAGTAAAAGATATGTTCTTAACCACTGCTGTCTGCTTCTAAGTGATGTACTCTCAAGATAGTTGAAGCTCTGATAGAGAGAAAGCTTTCCCATACCAGTATGATTTATCCAATCTTGTTGCAATATATGCAGACAACATAGACATTATGTGTTCACCATAATTATTAGTCAAAGTTCATTGAATATCACAACTCATTAAGGAGATGGGAAGTAATGTATCTCCAGTGAATAAAATATTTTCACTGAACATGGAACTTGTGTTGTTGTTTAAAGTTATGATGATGACTTTTTTTTTCTCCAACGACAGTGTGGATGACCTTACCACCTTCATTACAGACAGTTAAGTCCCTCTTCCTCCAGGATATTGGATTACATTAAACAAATTTGAATGATCCTATTTAAGAAAACAGCAATACAACATTTTGTTCATTCTTGAGACTTTGGCTTTAGAATATATGCAAAAAAGAAAACTAGCTACAACCTTGCTCTGCTTTCAATTAACTGTTGTCTCCATTAGCTTACTTAATTTGGTTACATTTATGTACCCAATTAGTATGAAAATACTCATTGATGGTACATGAGGATGCATGCATGTAACTGCCGTTCTTTAACATAAATAAGGGAACAATTGCTTGTCAGTCATATTTCAATATTTAATAGAGTTTTGTACTTTTGATCTGTCCAAAATCATTGAAAATGAAGGTCATTCAGCACATTACTGCAAAGAACATGGACAGCTTTTACAATTCCAGATGCCAAAATTAATTGCAAATCAATATCAACTTTTCATAGCATTAATCTATTTATTCTATTTTTCATTTGCATTGTTCATTGCTGTATCTTTATCCAGATGATATGTATAGAGATAGAAAACAAAATATGAAACCAACTTTTCATGCTGTTTGTTTAGCCATTCTATTTTCCATTGGCTTTATACAATGCAGCATCTTCATTCAGATGATATGCACAGGTAAATCCGAAATGATTTTTGTTGAGTCTTTCCCATGATAATGATGTCCTTTCTAATCATAATTTACTATTATTATTATTATTATTATTATTATTATTATTATTATTATTATTATTATTATTATTATTATTATTATTATATTTTTACAGATAAAATAAATATCAACATCTACATATATTTCAATTAATATTCAGTAAATAATAAATCAAATTGCTACCTTCCTCTCCAAAGCTGCAGCAATGTCAAACCAAAAAAAGCCGAGCGAAGGTAGCTTGTCTTGGGATAAGCGTTCTTCATTATAGAAGTCTCGTAATAAAAGCAGTGCTTGCAACTCGTGGCGAAAGCGGTGAAGTTTATTACTTAGGAATTGTTGTGAAATGCCCAATGAATCGGACATTCATTTTTAGCACAACTAATAAGATTTTCTTTGGTTTAGCCAGACAAAGATTTTCTACCATGTCTTTCCCAAAGGTTTTCGTTCGGTCAGACGAGGCGGAAAAGCTGCACATACAGTTAACTTTACCGTCGTTTTACGGATACAAACTAGACCTCGGCTTGGAAAGGTCCGTCGACGAGGAATTGGGTAAGGAGAAAAACAAATATCCTGACTTTTAGTTGAGAAATATAATACTTGCATCGCAAATGGGATAAGTACTTGGAGTTGTACTATGTCTTGCCTCACAGTCAGTTGGGACATGTTAGGCTGTCCTAGCAATTCCCTACGTCGCACCTGTATAATTTGCATTTATAGGTTGATGACGTTTTAGTCTTTGTTCCAGCTACCTTGGACAAATAAAATGCCCGAGCACTTAGGCATGTCAATGCTGCCACTTACACCCCATTTGTAAATGATGTCACATAGAGCCTCGATAGTTTATTGTTCCTTATGTTGGAATGAGGCTTTACCTGGGTAGCATGCACATGTAAGACCGAAAACTGGGGCAACATTATGTCTTATAATGATGTATCATATTGGAATTAGAACAAATTCAGTAACATTGAGTAATTGGTCTCTTGCACCCCTGGGCCCAATATTATGATTAATATTAAAAACATTCATTGCAAGAATTGCATATTTTTGGTTTTTGAATATCACAGCAAATAGGTTTTAGTTTCTTTGCTTCACAGCACAGCACAGTGCCTGACATGTTAATTTTTTTCCAGGCAGATGCTTAGATAGAATGGTGGCAAGTATAGTGGTTAAGGTAAAGAAAAAGGGGAAGAAAAAGATCAAAACTGAATTGTCTACAATAGCTGACACGCTGAAAGTCAACTTGTACCACCAAGACGTAAAGGTAGATGTCGCCACACTAAACAAGCATGCCTGGATCCAAGATGCTCTACTGGAAGTTGGTGAGACTAAGTTCCAGGTTGAGTTCAATCCACCTACAGTGAAATCCCTTCAGTTACCAGACCATGTGGTGGTCAGGCTTCCTGTCCACCCTAAACTTGATGTAAATTTTGCTGAAACTGACCAGTGTGCTTTTGCATGGTATAGAAACGTATCGGGTAGCACAAAGCACAACACTAATAAAGGGATGGCTATGGAGGTGGATGACCATTGTCTGGACAATAATGACCACTGGATTGAAGTTGGAAGGACTCTCAGATATGTTCCAACTAAGGAAGATTTAGGACATGAACTAATATTACAGTGCACTCCAAAATCTGGAGACAGAACTGGGAAGACAGTGACTGCCAAAAGCGAAAAAGTTAAAGATGCATACATAACAGATGTTTATCCTTTTGAGAAGAGACATTCTTTCACCAAGAACAACAGTGACCATGGAAGGTAAGAGATTCTTTATCAGATATCTTTGAGATTTATGTTTTCAAATAAGTAGATTAATCATTTTTGATAAATGTTATTAGAAATTAAGAGAGTTCATTAATTATTTTTCAGTAGTATGATGATTCCACAATTTCCAATTTCAAAATTTGATTACTAGTACTTGAAGAAATGTCAATCATTTTATATGTATGACATCTAATTAAAGATGTAATATTTACCCTTCTTCAGCTTTCGCATGGTAAGCTACAACATTCTAGCAGATTTGTATGCAGACTCGGACTTCTCCCGTGACGTTCTGTATCCGTACTGCCCAGCAGAATGTTTGGCCAAAGACTATAGATACCCCCTGATATTGTGGGAACTGAGAGGTAGGATGGGATTGCATCATATTTCTTACTTGTTCATATTTTTCTACTTGAATTTGGCACTTATGTTTTCTTCAAGAAACAATCATGTCAGCCGTAAGCTGTATATCATATTTGATTTGAAGCCTATGGATGTATTATTATAATCTTTAAAAATTTAATAAATAAATAAATAAAATAAAAATAAAAATTTTGATACAAATGCAGTTGTTGTGTTCTCTAAAAGACTATCTCAACTAACACAATAAGTAATTTTGCTACACTTCCAGGTCTGTGGTTATTTTGAAAGAGTCAGGTTTTTACCAATCAACATTTTTTGTTAGTCTGTACACAACACAATGTTCACAACAGGAAGTAATCAGATATTCCTTAAAGGAAAAAAAACAAACAAAAAAAATGTTCCCACTTCATACATATTTGTCTTATTCTTAATCATGTTATTGCAGACTACAATGCTGATGTGATCTGTCTCCAAGAGTTAGACAAGAAGCTGTTTCTTGGTGATCTGTCAGAGCAGTTCAGTAAACAGGGGTTCTCAGGTCATTTTAAGATGAAAACAAATGGCAAGGGAGGAGATGTGCCTGAAGGAACAGGGATTCTAGTCAGGAATTCCAAGTTCAGGTATGTTCTGTTACCAATGTGAATATTCTTGTCATTACCTCATGATAGAAGTATTCTCTTGCTCAACCCACTGTATTTATTATTATTATTATTATTATTATTATTATTATTATTATTATTATTATTATTATTAAAAGGAAGTACTGGCCCTAATTATAATTACCATGCAGATTTAACTTGTAGATTATATTTAGGTTGCACTGAATGTGGCTGTGATATTTTTTCTCAATTCTAGTTCATTCACCTTTTTATTTTATTTCAGTGTTTTAGAAGAATATTACATTGATTTGAAGGAGGTTCTAGAAAAAGACCCCATGTTTCAAGATTTGAAGAATAAAATTGCAACAAAACCAGTATTGCTTGAAAAAATGATGACTAGAACCACTGGATTACATGTAAGTTCATTTATATATTACTTTATATTTGAATATCCTTAGGCATGAGTATAATGGGAATTTATTTCTCTCTTCATCCTCCCCCCAAAATATAGAATCATAATGAGACCAGTTATGATATATTGATAATGTAAAAACCATGTGCATATCAGTTGCTATAGAAAACTTTTTATTGCTAAATTTTCTTTTAAAAGATATTTTTGATGTTTTACTGTTACCAGATTAAATAATACAAGCTGTGTGTTTTTTATCCTTTCCAGGTAGTGGTCTTAGATTCCAAAGAAGTTCCTGACAGAAAGATATGTGTTGCTACAACCCACCTTTACTTTCACCCCAAGTCTCCTAACATTCGACTTATCCAGGCTGACATGTGCCTGCAGTACCTCTCTCAGATAGTGAAGGGATACAAGGAAAAGGTAAGTTATGTATTGAGTACATGTTGTATTTCATTTTCTGTCATTAAGTAAAAAGTAAAAACTGGATATAATTTAAGATAAGACTTTTTTTGCCAAACAGAGGGTTTATTTTAGACATATCAGAATTTTGAGTTATTTCACTGAAATGTTTATTGAAGTACTTGCATATTTAAAGATTTTTTTCAACATTATCACATTTAATAAGATAAGAAAATGATTTAAAACATTTGGGTAATATTTACTATGTGTGAGTAAGCTCTCTCTCTATAACATTAAAAAAGAGAAAAGCCATTTTCCTGTACATCACACATTTCCCCTTTGATCTCTCTGCACATTTATTTCTCCCATTTGTTTCTGGCTTATTATAAATCTTTTCCAGTTTATAGTGGTTTTGCAATATGTCATAGCACCAGTTACAAATGTCAAGTGCCACTCTGTCATGCTGAAGTGATCATGTGAAACTTGCATGCAGCTGACACATTCATGTTTTATAAAAACCTAAGCTGGACTTCAGGGGCTTCTTAAGAATAAGACTATTGATGTTTTTTGTCTTAATATTTTTCATTTTTGTTTGCAAAGCCAGATATTAAACGTGGTTGAAACTACATTTTTTTTCATAATATGCCATATTCATACCTATTTTTATTCCCTCTCTCTTCCTGTTTTTTTTTTTTGTCATTTATTCTGATCATGTAGTCTAAAAGGGATTGACATTTCAGTGTAGGATTTGAAGTACATGCTGCGATACTTTAATCAAACTTGTTATTCTAGTGAGTGGTTGGAATAGGGTTTCTTGGCATCTGTTTTTCAAACTTAAATGTCAGTGTAAGCTTTTACGTTGTTGTGAAGACATTTTGTTTTCATTTGTCTTATATTTAATTTTCATTTTGACACCAAGGGATTTTTAGTGGCACAAATGTGTTTTTGTAAAATGGCATTTCATTCATAATCCTGCATTATGTTTCATGTTACTACATATCAGGTGTCAGACTGGGGTAAGTCAGCCCCATGATAATTTTACTTTTATATGTTTATGATTCCTTCTTTTTTGTGAATACTTGGACAGTCCATGCAAAATAGAACTCATTGTATAAATTGGTATTTTGGCAGCATTTTCCTTAATCTGTGTCTGTACTACCAATTGATTTAAACTACCCCTTAGTTCGAACTTAATAAATTTAGATTTGTGGTTTATAAGAAAAAGACCTTAAGATATCTTGTGGGCATCATCCCCCCACCCACGCACCCCAGTATTTGTACTTGATAACCATTACGTAACTGTAACATTGAATTTTAAGGTCATGTATGAGGAAACCATAAAAGATATGACAATAGATCGTTGCAGGTGAATGAAATTAAAATTGACATTTTTGTTCCAGTATTTAAAGGGATAATAACTCTTCGTATGAGATCTATATTTCACAATAAAAACATTGTGAATAACTCATAGAAATATAATATATTCTGTTTTACCACAAAAACGGCAGTAATAGCTATTATTCTGATATCTGAGCTTGTCTTTAGACCACGTGACCTCCATTGATGGCTATACTATGTTAAAATCTCTTAAGAGATTTTAACAAAAAACCAAACTTTTAAGAAAAAAACCAGGGACTAACTTTGAATGTAAAAATGGATTCATTAACCATTGGTAAGTATGGGAAAATTGTTGTTTACTCCAGGAAAATTCATTTTTTGGCCGAAACAAAGAGTTATTATCCCTTTAACATTTGCTATTTATTAAAAAGGTTTTTATTTCTTACTTATTGATAATAAGTAAAAACTGAAAAGAATAAGGTTTTAGCAGTTGCACAATGTAAACATGTCATTTGCTCTTTCTGGTGAAAAAATAATGATGACATTATTGATGTTAAATTTAAATCATGAGCTAATTTGTCACATGGTTGCAGAAAATCTCTCTGTATATAGGGCACCTGCTGGTGTGTTTACCTATGAACAAGGATTTATTTAAAAACTCCTCTTTTCTCTAAATAAAAAAAAAAAGATTTTCATGAAAGATACACAAGAAAAAATGGATGATCATTACAAATATAGAAGCTCAGTAAGGATTTGTTTGACAAAATTGCTTCTTGTCTACAATCTGCTTCAGTGATTTAAAGTCTTTCCTTTATTTTTCTTTCTGATTTTTCCCCTTTAACTGTTTTTCCAAAATAAATCATGGTAATTATGCATATTCACTGAATGGAGAGTCATTACAAACATAATAGCTCAGCAAGGATTTGTTTGACAAAATTGCCTCTTGTCTACAGTCTGATTCAGCAGCTACAAGTAATTCGATTTTTTACGGAAGTGTATAATCTATAACGTCTGGTCAGATTTCCAAGATCTTGCTCAAAGGAAGGGAGGTCAGGTTTCTGGAAATTTGTTTCTGAATGAAGGAAATGATCAGAATTGCATTTTCTTGAGAATGTTTCTTTGATTGCAGTTTGAAAGAAGGAGAGATAATGTGGGCTGTTTTCTACAAGTATCAGTTATTTCCTGAGAACATGTTTTCTGACTGTCCAATGTAATGTGATGATTTGTAATGACCACTTTCAGTTAGTAGGTGTTGAATAACAGAACACTCAGCCAGGTTGCTGCTGTACCAATCATGACATCCATGAATTTAAAAGAGAAATTGATTACTGGCTTTCATTTTTTGGTCATTATAGCAAACAAAAGCACGTTATTGTATCCTATCTAACCTTGCATTTTAAGTTCCTTTTTTTAGAAGAAAGATTTTTGTGAAGATACTTTATGGGAATGTCACACTTGTCATAGAAACATTCAGTGCTTGAATTCATTTCCACGCACTCAAACAGGCATGCTTGTTCATGCTTTCACACAGACATGCACATATACAAATACGGGCTCAGATGTACAAATGTTTGCACAACCTGTTCATGTGACAGCTAATTGCAGCGTAATTTACTCCAGGGAGAACATCTACCTGTGATAATTTGTGGTGACTTCAACAGCAGCCCAATCACCGGGGTGAGCCAGTTCATGATGCAAAAGGAGGTTCCTGCCAATTACACCGATTGGTTTGCTGGTAAATGTTTTAATGTTGTTCTCTCTTCCTCAGCCATACACTGTATAATACACAGACAAATTGTTTGTGCCTGGATATATACTGATTACTGTGTCTGTCTGTGTGGTAGCTGTCACTGTCAATGTCCACACCCCTTTTTTTCACCTTATAAATCCCAAACCATATTTTTGTTTTACTTCAAATTAACTTGTTTGGTAAAAATGTAATTTCTATTTCTTATTCCTTTTAAATTGTTTTTACTTACATTGGCCCAATAAGTGCCAAACTGCATTTTGTATTACTTCATATTAGCTGAGTGGCATTGTTTGGTTAAAGGGGATGTTCCTGTCAAAAATCAGCATGATCATATGATTTTATATGAGTTATTGTTTACTAGAATGTGCCTGTGCATATTTAATTCAGAGAGGGATGAAGTAACATTTTTTAATTTCTACATTATTTGTTTTTATCAGTTTTTCCTGATTTAATCAATTCTTTTAAAACCCTGTTTTATCCTTTATTCCGGTTGCATTGTTAAGTTTACTGAAAAAAAATTGGATTTAAGACTCAAAACAAAAATCATTATGTTTAATATTATTATTGGAGGAATTGTTACGACTTTTCATTGTTAAGTATCTGTATGTTTGCCAGTTATGCTGACTACTTTGGGAAGAAAACCCCCCCTCTTCATAGAATGACCAGCACAGATTTATTGATTTCAAACTCAGTCACGTTAAGCATTATCTTGAACATCTGAGGGATTAAAAAAAGAATGCCTTTTGGCAGTAAATGGATCCCACATCTTGACACTTAGTCCATACCAGCCTGATATATGGTGCTTGTCTTGAAACCTTGTGACATCAAAGTCTTCATATCTAAGACAGCAAGAAGCACTTGTTGTGGCGTTCTATGCTTGAAAGGTTTACATTTGTTTAAATGTATTAATGGTTATGTTTTATTTTAGTCTTCCCCCTCCCCCCCCTAAAAAAATAATAAATAAATAAATAAATATTTTTAATTACCATTCCTATGTGACAAGCCTTTATTTCATTATTCTTTAACTTTGGGCCACAGTATTTGCTCCTTTCCTCCCTTTTCTTGTACTTACATGTCTTCATGTTTCGATGTTTTGAAGTCATAGGTATGTTAACTGAAATCAATAAATTTCCCTTAAGGTCATTTTTGTACATAACATGTGATGCTATTGTATGATTTTTATTTTCAGGTGGAAAAGAGGAATATGTAGAAGACTTAAAACTGCGGCATGACTTCAATTTCACCAGTGCATGTGGCTTTCCTAGGTACACCAATTATGTAGGTGGATTTGAGGGCTGTCTGGATTATATCTACATAGAGTCAGATTATTTTCAGGTGTCCAAAGTAATACCACTGCCGTCACACGAGGAGATCACACAGCATGGGGCTTTACCTAATCAATGTTTTCCATCAGATCACTTGGCTCTCGTATGTGATATTACTTGGAAACAACAGAAATAGTATAAACGTAAGCATCGCACTTCCTACAGAATATATAGTATTCTCTTTGTTTGGGTGAGATTTAAAAGTGCATTGAAGCATTTGCAAGGCATCAAGTTGAACATACGCTGGAATCTTTTATATCAGAAAGTTACACATTAGCATAAATTTCTCCCTGTAAAAAAAAAATTAAACTTAATATTGATGTAAGTCAGTATTATTCTTCCGACCTGTAGTACCACGTCAAATAGGTTTTATCAATTCTTGCTGTTGCTAAGTGTTACTAAAGGAATAATGAAGTGGCGATAATGCTCTCTGCTTCAAATTACAGTAACATGCAATATGATGATCAAGGAAAGGATCACACTCTCAGTCACATTATACCATCTACTGGGCAACCTATGTAACAGGATCATTGCCTTTCTAGTTGTAACAATTATTATTTATCTCTCTTTTCTTTGTTTTCGTTTTCTGAATTTTTTTTCTTGAAAATTTCATATTGGGTTGGTGACTGTATGCGTTAACTTACGGTGTGCTGTAAAAAAAATACTGCAGCAACAGCCAATTACTAAGTAGAGATTCATATACCATATTTCAAGTTGAATAATTAAGTCATTATAAAATTTGCAATGAGTTATTTTCACATTGGACCTGATAATTAATATGTTGAAGGCATGGTAACTCAAATATAAGTTCATTCCCTTAGTCATCATCTGATAAATTTTATAGAGCAATATGCTTAACAAGCACACCAAAGCTATATTTTGCTTATAAGAAGAGTGAAAACACAATGAGAAATGAAAATGTCATTTATTGTAAAATAAAGAAATCAAATCCATACATAAAAACATAATCATGTAAAGGTCTACCAAAAACCCAATTTAATGAAGAATTTCTGTTCATTTTAGTTTCAAGACACCAATTAATATTTCTAAATATTGTGTAAGAATTCATTTCTACTTTAAATTTGTAGATCAACATTTTGTTAATGTTTGGTTCAACAGCCATTTGTCTTTATATTCTGATTAATCACTTTTTTGTCTTTGGTAGTTAAACTCTTTCTGAGGCAATGTACAAAATGTACAAAAATTTAATTTGTGTAAGAAAAAGCTATTTCGTTGGCAAGGTTCTTTCTTATATATACATGGCAACACAAAGTCTTGCTTATGTGTATTTACATTAACCATATTAAAGGGAGCCTAAAATGTATCATACACTTCATTTACAGCTCAATAAATTATTACTTAATAAATTTAATTATTAAGTTTGAGTATTATTTACACTGTGTGTGTGTGTTTATATAATTTTGAACCAGACATAATGTTTTCTTTAAGTGTCTGTAGTTTGAAGTATTGTTGAAAATGTTGACCTCCCCTTTAACTTATAAAAATTCAAATTTGATTCATCCCATTGATTGTGAATTAAAACACTTCAGTTTTTTCCCTGCTCCGCTTACTGAGTTTAGAAATCATGCATTTGCATCACGGGAAGATTTTTATGTAGTTTTTATCCTTAATCTATATCCCTTTTAATACAGTCTTAAACTTTTTTTATAATTTCAACTTTTACAGTTTTTAACACCACAACACTTTTACAGGTCAATTTACCCCCAAAATTCATTATTTTATGAATTAATGGCTAAATAAATTATCTCTTGACTTGATTTTCATTACTTCTAGTGAGCTCTGACAATTATCTAATTACTGGATATGCTTTTAGCCTTTACATTAGGTTTACCCAGTATGAGGTAAAAATACTGGAATATTTATAACAGTGGCATAGAGATCTTTTTAGACGCATGTCCTCCTATCCAGACTTGCCAATTTTTTAAAGCCCGGATTTATTTGTAATCCCCACATTTTGCTACTTCTCAATGAAGACTTTCTGCTGGAAATACTTCTATCAACTACATCAAATGTTCTTTGATTTAAAAATTGCAGATTCTTTGGTTGTCATCTAGCTTCAGTGTGAAGTTCTATTCTTGTCACCTGCATCTTTTGTGTAAGAACAGTCGTAGTCTGTACAGAGCAAATATGGTCACCTGTAGTACAGGGATGCCCACCACTCCCAGACAGGCCACTACAGTAATAGGGATCAGTGGTTTTCTCCAGTCTAGGAATTTATAGATGTAAGGACTACCATATGCATTTAGTCCACCGCTGAGACTGTAGATAATGTTAAATATGGTATAAACTGTCACAAACACCAGTGGGTACACCATATGGAGAAGTCGGATTGGGATTTTTGTTACAAATACATCGGCCAGCATGACAAGTGCGGTCATAGCATGGTTGTTGAATTTTGTCCCCATGAAGTGACCATCATAAAGCAGGGGCCAGTATATCAGAAATACCAGTATTGTTGCACTGAACGTCATGTTGTATAGTACCCAGGACAGCTTACAGTACCATGGGGTCTCCACCTTGACATTGGTGATCACCCTGACGGTGACGTCCTCTCCCTGATAAAGTCTGGAATCCTGGTCATGGGCCAAAGATGCTGACTGCTGCTCCATCTGAATGTCAAATGTTATGTCATCTGCCCAGCTCTCGCCTGTAATTTGAATCATTTCTCTTTTGATCATTTCATTTCGGTTAAATGTGCAGGTGTAATATAATAGGATGTAGTTCCATATTTAAGTTGATTGATAAAATGTCACATTTAAGATAAAAAAAGTAAATCAATGCATGGAGGAATAATTTTCTTTTGCCATTTTTTAAAGATTATTCTATTTCTATATTTTATGCAGGATATCTTTGAATGAAAATACACTAATTCATAATATAATATAATATAATATAATATAATATAATATAATATATATATCATCACAATTGTCACATTCTTGAGACATTCAAATGACAGGACACCCACCTCTTGATCTTAGAAGATAATGATAGAGAGTTGCCCCAGCGGATACCATCATGGAAGAAGTGAGGAGAATGAGAACCCAGTGGGTAAAGTAGACAAAGAAAACTGAAGGATTTTTATAATGGATCCCCTTCTCATAACCAGTGTAGATCAACCAAGACAGAAAGTAAAGTGCTAAACACAGTCTGTAGACTACAAAAGCCAAGGGAGGACATCTTTCCCACTGGAAGAGAAAAGAAAGTATATATTATAAGATGGAAAAAGCACTTCACATTCATTGTCAGTAGCAGTGTTCATTTATAGCCTTGTTATAGCAGGTGTAACTTCAACTTCAAAGGCCCCATTCAGAATGAGAAGATCCGAGTGCTAACTGGTCCACGGCTTAAATATGGCGGACCTACATAAAAAGAAGACCGCTTAATCCTGTAATTGTCTCTACGTCTCTCACAAGCCTTCCCACGCATTGTCCCTGAGGGGGCACAGTAATTACATTTCGACTCCATTCGACCAGATGCGTGAGAGGCAGAGAGACCATTACAGGATTAGGCAATCTTCCTTTCATGTAGGGTATGCCATATTTGAGCCTTGGACCAGTTGATACTTGTATCTACTATTCTGCATGGCCACAAATACAGCCTAACTCACCTATTTAAAATAAAATTTAAATTTCAAAGTAAACCTATCTGTTAATCATTCTTACCTTATCTAATGATGTCAGTTAGACTAGACTTATAAGCTATTTGCTGACATCTGTTTGACTCGAATTTTAATGGCTCTTTTAAGCTACCTCCTAAAGTCAGAATAAATTTTTTAATTCCATGCTGTTTGATGATGTTGGTCAGAGTAGAATTTGTTAAACCTTCTGGTCAGTGGTGCCACATTAGCAGTTTTGTGCTCAACTTGGACAAATAAGGCTGTTCATATTAAAAGTTATCGTCCAGTATGATCTATCTATCTAAGCGGCACACCTTCTCACAAAGCCACATGAACAACATAATGCACCACTAAGTTTCCCGACTTTATTCAAATAGTGTAAGTTACAAGGGGGCGTGCCAGACAATTCAGCTGATTACACTGACTGTGTAATAGGGAGAATCCCAGCTGAGGTAGATCTATCCTGCTATATAGATAACTTGTAATTTGAACACAGCCTAAAAATTTAATTCCTCCAAGGACAAAATAAACTAAATAGGACTTGTTTGTGCAGTAGCAAGAAGAAATGCCTTTGGCATGTTTGAGCTGCTAACTTCATTATCAGTAAAGAATTAAGAAGGATAAGAACTGCCTAAAAAAGGAAAACAGGTTCCAACAGTTTTCCACAAGCAATACTTTTTGATGCTCACTTAGATAACACTAAGGTCAAATAACAGTTGGGTCAAGGCAAATATGCAATGCTCTTCTGGGACTAGGTTCCAATCTTTATAATGTGAATATTCTATTAAAATGCAAATGCCTTTGCTGTGGATGTTAGCCAAAGTTTAAAAAGTTAGCACCCTTGAGTAATTATCACTGGTGACTTTTTATCAAGCTGGGCAATGTGAGCAAGTCTATCCTATCAAATATCTAAATTCTATATAAAGTTAATTTTTCACAAAACGTGATAACACTCTACAAATTGTTCTCAAGTGTAAGTACTTAATTCACCTTTCACATCACATTTTGTTTGGCAACAGATGACCTTTACGTGGAGACAGAAATTATCAGATCACTGTGAAATGAGCAGTCACAGCCAGGATAATGTTATCAGTGGTTTTGTAAGGAAAGAAACTGTTAGGAGTTTAATTAAGGTGTGATATTTTGTCATATCATGCCTCACATGTTGTTAATCTCCACATAGTATAAGCCAAATTCAATCAAATGTATTAAAACTGTAGTATATCCACTGAGATGATTTATAACTTGAGAAAGTCATTTTTNTATTTCACATATTGGCATTTTCAAGGTGTGACTTTGAAGTTCTACATGCTTGAAGACCCATGCTAGTCACATTTTCTGAAAATCCATGATACGTATATTTTATTATTAAAAATTGACGGTCATTATGCTGTTAACCAATATGTAATATTGCATCAGAATAGAAGAAAACAATTATGGGTGCTGCTGCCATGATGACCATTATGGGAAAACCATGTTACTTATGATTGCCAAATGTTCAAAAAAGAAATGCAGGACTAAAATGCAGCCTGGGTTGGAAAAGTAGTCTAATTGGCTTCTTTTTCTGGAAGTTATACATTTTCAAAGTGTGATCTTGAACTCCCATGGGCCTGAAGCCTTATGCTTTTTACACGTTTTACTTACATTGGTATTACCTGTTGAGCATAATTAAAATTTGATGTTGAATTTGCAGTTTAACATAATGTACTTTTGCATCAGAATTGACAGTAGCCTATTTTGTGCATAGTTATTTCCTGCTTTTTGTCTGTACATTTGACAGCTTTGCTGCCTTGTTTCCATTAAATATTGACCAGAATCAAAAAGCACTGCAGATTCCTATAAGATCAAATTTTTACAGTAACCAGGTTTTTTATGAACAGATCAATTATTACAAGTGTATCTAAGACTTGGGCTGGGTTCCCATGCCTAGATCGATCCATCTGGATCAGTCTAACTCCCTGGTAGTCTCTACCGAATCAGCTAGGTGGTAAAGATAATCACCCCTGTTAAAACTGAGCCAATGCCCCTTCTTGAACCACTTGCCAGGTCATATAATGCAAAAGACATTCACAGTTGGTCTGCGCTGGCCAGACGCAAACCCTGACATATTAACCTGATTGACTAGACAGTGCTACATGCTTATGAACAATTTCACTGGGATATTGATTTTTGATGCCATTATGGTTGCTAAATGTGCAAAAGTTAATTAAACATTTGGGTGATAAAAAGAAATATAAACCAGTAAACCTGGTTTTCAAACTCAACCTGTTTTTTAGTACTAAGATGCAAACATGTAAGTTTTAAAATAAGTTGAAATGTTTTTACTTTCGTATGTTAACGAGCAAAGTGCACAATTGGTGTTCACAAGGAAGTGCATGATGACGTTAACGGCAACACCAGGTGCTGATGATGATAACAACTAGATATGTCAGAGAGAAAAAAACAGAATGAGTGTTTATTTGATGTGTACAAATGCATGTGATATTTTACAAGATGAAATTTAGCATCCATTTGCCTTTTATTACTAAAAGCAAGTTACTGTATCAATCTTGCACTGAGTATCATATTTAACTTAACCAAAGTTCATTGCAAACCTCTCATTTTATGAGGTTGGTTGGAATACCACTTTACAAAAAAAAAATAATAAATAAATAAATAAAAATAAAAAAATAAAAAGATAAGAAAACTAGTTGGACTCTGGACACACATTATGTACCTAAGTTTAAAGGACCACTCCATGTGTTAGGACACTGTAAAGCTAGCTTGTTAACTATTCATACCAATTCATAGAATAGCTTTACAGTGGGCCTGAGGAACAGTGACATTGTTGAATATCCATCAATCAAAAAGAACTGCTCTGCAGTGAATCTGCAGTTGAATGTCATTAATCCAAAATGAAACATAAATCGGATTTAATTTCATTTACTGTATACAAAATGTAAATTGAAAAATAAATAATGTATTTTTAAAAGAAAAGATATACCAGATGTTTTGGTATTTATTGCTTATCAAAAATTAACATTTGCTCCTAGAGATATAAACACAATATAGTGCTTGTTGTGTGCCAAGTTTGACAGTTATATTGTATGTCCGATACCACTATGAGGACTGCGCAAGGGCTACACCAAAAATCAGCTTTTAAAGCAAAAAATTGCTGGTGCTGTGGCACTGACTTTCGATTGAAAGGTATTCGTAGTTCAAACTTCAAATTCCTCATCAGCCACTTTGCTTCTTGTCTCGTCTGCATGAGATAATGTCAGCACAAGGCAGGAAAGGCAGCTTCAGGCGGGACAGAGCTGTGACAAATGAGACTTGTGACTTCCAAATATGGAAGAGCCCCAAGCAAAATTTTGCCAAACACACCCCCAGCCTGACGCTAGTTTCGAGTCGACTTTTCTGATACAGGTTATATTCGAAATCAAGATCGAGCTGGCAAAACTGAAATCTAGAACCTAGGGTACTCCATGGGGTTTTCCCACCAATATGAATAGATATATATAGAGAGAGGTTCTTTACATGCATTTGAAAATTCCCCTCAGTCATAGGTAAGTCCTGAAGAGCTTCTTATTTATCCCGATTTAGACTTCAAAGAAAATGAAACCTTTAAATACAAGATAATCTGGATTCTGGAACATGCCTTCTGTTGTTATTATCTTCTCAGCCTCCTTGGGAATAGCCATTGCCAGCAACTTCTGTATTATACTCAACACAGGGCCATGATACAGAAAAAAACAGCCATTTTCTTGTGTGAAAATGAGGCAATGCGCATGACCGCAGATGTCGTTTATAATGACATATTAACATGTTATATAAAAAAATGGAATCAAGCAATTATTCGCGAGTAGGAAAAATTGCTCCAGAAAAATTAATTTTGGTGGGAATAACTCATTGAGTGGCCCTACAAATCAGACTAACTGCTAATTTTATTGTCAAAGAAGGAATCTACTTTTGCAGTTAAGAGTTATGGGACATATGCTTTTAGTCGTTAATTGTATTTCACTTAGTCTGCATTGGAACAATCTTTGACATGACTGCGTCCCACATGAGTCCCCCTATAAATGTCAACACCATTCAAACACCAACATTAAGAACAAATTCAATAACTTTCAGGGACTTATGAGGCTCTTATTCAAGTACTTTCAAGAATGTCTTAATTGAAAGCAAATGTGTGCAATTTACAGTCATTTATAAGTAATCACACCAAAGAAAAGAAGACTTATTATTTTATTTAAACCTTGTATTTTAATACATTGATGACAAAACATGAAAAGAATAAAATTAAATTATGTTTTAATAGGTATTCTCCTCTTCTGTGAATAACTGTCTATATTCAGGTAAAAACTTCAAGGTTCAAAATAATAGTTAAATTTTGTTGTATGCTGTAAAATGTAAAAAGCCCAGATTGTAGGCCAGATGTGAAGGATATGTTTATGTATTAAAGCCAAGCATTTTCTGGGTTGTGTACCAGACCTTTTAAATTGCTCTCCATAGTCCCCCAATGGCACTGTGCTATATGTTAGTTACCATATAAATACTGCAAGTACCACACAAAACATATGTATACACATGTACTGGTTGATATAGGTACATACTAATAGGCAGTCAAACAGATAGATATACAATGTAGATTTTTTTCTTTAAAAATAATTTATGACCCATAGTACACAGAGAGAGAGAGAGAGAGAGAGAGAGACGCATGTAATAGTAGGCCTACTATGCTGTAGTGTGCAAAAACCACCCGTTTCCTAGTTCATCAAACAGGAGAAATGACATTTGTGAATGAAATAAAAACTGGCAGTTCTATGGTTTTGCTTACCATGTGTTTGCGTGTATGGCGGGGGGGGGGGGGCATCTTTTCAGACTGGCGTATCTCTACTCGCACAAGTTACTATATCTATATATTAGGCAATAGCCTTCCAACTGGAGCGTTAAATTGGGCTGAGGATGAGTAAGTATGGTATGACCCACGGCCCGATACGGTGACGTTTGAGCCAAACTAGCCCCCAACAGCCACCCTCCGACCCCTCAAATCCCCACTAACCTGGCACTTCACGAAGACACTGGGTGACGTCACGTCTAGTTTCAACTTGGACAAAAAGAGTTCGTCGCTAATCACCTGTTGCCATCCCATTGTGGACTCCGTCATACACTTGCTACCTCGCGAAACCGACACACAGCCGCAACACAGCGTTAATAACAACTATGGGCTTCGCTAAATATATATATACCAACGGTAGAGTCCATATGGCAACAGTGGGGTACTCCGCATCTTAGTATAACCAATAGCCCCGGGGAATATTAATAAAAAGTACATGTGTCTATCAATGTACATGTATAAGAGGTGACATGAAAAATTGTCTCGTTATCAGTGTCACACAATGACACGATTTATTATCTTATGTGAGCTGTTGTGTATCAACATGTGTGGACTGTTTTTACCTATGTACTCATGCATGCTGCTGGTACATGCAGGCTTCAATGACATTTTGAAAGTGACTTGGGACAAGCGATCCGTGAAAACATGCGTGTTTATAAAATTGTCTTACAGAAATGTCATGACGTTTTTACAGTTGTAAAACTACGTTCCCTAACAATAACAATAAAAACCAATGCGTTGAATTTCTGTGCTGCATTGTCGCGCGCAAGAAGATTGAAGCCGTCTTTGATGATAGTTTCCTTGATACCAGTGCTTACGTATATCAAATCGGAAGAAGTTTTGTCATCAGAATCGCGTGATCTTCTGATTGAACTATTAGAGCACCACATTTGCCCTAACATAATACAGTAATGATGCATTACAAGAAAAGCAGTAAAGAAGCCGAATGGGGGCAAATCTTTATTAATCTAACATTATTACTAACAGACGTGTGCACCAATTTAAGCTGAGATGATGACGCAGTAGTTATTACAAATTGGCTTCATTACAAATGTCATTTCGCTTATAGGTGGAATTCGGCTCATTAAAAACCAAATAAGTGATTAATACTTGCCTGGAAACTAAGACGAATTGGGTAGAATAATTGGATTTTCAGCGCCAGGGTTCTCATGTATGTGCCGACACTACGTCTTAAAAGTAAAAATCGATATAGTTTACCTTAGGGTAGGATATCTTCCTTGTTATTGTAATACGATGAGCACTAATCTGTATTTCAACTACATTGAACATTCTGTTTGGTTGTTGTATAAATTATATATGGAGATCAAACTTTCAATACGCGCGTGCGCGCGCCCGTGTGTGTGTGTTTGTGTGTGTGTGGATCTATCTCAGAAAATGTCCCCTTGAACGGGGAGGAGGTTTATATTGACAACACCCAGTCCACATGCTGACAGGCCATTGATTGGTAGGAGCCAAGAAACCCACTGATCTTCCCCAATTTTCAGGTCTAATTTATTGAGAATAATTTCTGTTGCTATATTTGCTCTTGGCCTTGCCTATTTGACGGAAGCAGCGTCACTGGGTAGGCGGAGCCCGTTGATTTACGTTGCCACAGTTGTCTTCAAGAAAGTCTTCATAGCGCCATTTCGAAATACTTGTTAATAACAACATATCTACAAAGTAGTTAAGAAGGTGGAAGGGAGTAATAATGATGCAAATAAAGCACTAAATATTGGGTATCTTCAAATTCATTTCTTCTGTCAGTTCCCGCAGTAATTATTCACAATTCAAAACGTGAAACAAGAATATATGTGTGCAGTAATTTTAAGGGGTCTTTGTGCTTAATAAACTTTCTACGGAAACTGACTGGTGCCATGTTAAAAAAATTATTATCTCGAAATTTCGAGGTAGTATTTTGAAATTTGGACATAAAAATATATTATGAGGTAATATTTTTTAATATGACACCAGTCGGCTTCCGTAACTTTCAAATTTCAAATTGAAAATCACATTAAAAGTAGGCGATCGTTTTTGAAAATAGATAAACATGAGTGACAAAAGTTTTGGATCAGATTGAAGTGAGGTTGACACTGATGACCATTGTTTGACTATACCATGTTAAAAACAGTGCAGCTCTAAAATTAGTTGTTTAAGAAAACCTTAAACACGAGATCGCGCACGAACTTTATACTGGAGTGAGATTGGAAAGACATTTCAATAATCTGAAAACGTATTTGTGAATGAACTAATGAAGTGCAGTAGACATCAAGGGCATAGTATGAGAAACCAGATCCGGTTTATATACAGCGTTCACATACTTTTAAATTCTGATTGTGGTATAGACAAGTCATGCTTCTCTTCTCTAACACATCCATGAAACACCAAGCCACCTTTTGATTGTACATATATTTTTAAGTGCTTTTAAAGCCTTTTTGATTTCATGCCATCTCATTTACATGCTAACTTGTGGTCAGGTTATATATATTAGCAATACATCAGAATAAATTGTAAAATGAGGTATTAGATAGACTTAAAAATTACTATAACTATAACAGTAAATGATGCATTTGGTTGCTCTCGTGTTATGTGTGCGTGTGTGTGTGTGTGTGTGTGTATCAGTGCAGTCCCTTTTCCTTGAGGTCAAAAGGTGTAGCCTTATTATTTCATGGAAAAAAGATTGATAACGGGTAGGGCCTATGAAAGCAGATCACCTTTTCTAAGAAACTGCTGATGAAAATAAAAAAACTCAATTCTGCGTTGTGTTTCTAGAGAATTTGCATTGAGCTCTAAGGCAAAAACACAATAGAGGCACAATCAAAACCGGTACGTTTCACAAGTAATACCACATTTTATTCAATCATTTTCTTTTGAAACCCATTTATTCTTAAATTTTTTGGAACGCATGCCTCTAACCTCAAAGTCTAAAGCACGTGTCTTTTATNAAAAAAATAAATAAATAAATAAATAAAAATAAAAAAAATAAAAAGATAAGAAAACTAGTTGGACTCTGGACACACATTATGTACCTAAGTTTAAAGGACCACTCCATGTGTTAGGGCACTGTAAAGCTAGCTTGTTAACTATTCATACCAATTCATAGAATAGCTTTACAGTGGGCCTGAGGAACAGCGACATTGTTGAATATCCATCAATCAAAAAGAACTGCTCTGCAGTGAATCTGCAGTTGAATGTCATTAATCCAAAATGAAACATAAATCGGATTTAATTTCATTTACTGTATACAAAATGTAAATTGAAAAATAAATAATGTATTTTTAAAAGAAAAGATATACCAGATGTTTTGGTATTTATTGCTTATCAAAAATTAACATTTGCTCCTAGAGATATAAACACAATATAGTGCTTGTTGTGTGCCAAGTTTGACAGTTATATTGTATGTCCGATACCACTATGAGGACTGCGCAAGGGCTACACCAAAAATCAGCTTTTAAAGCAAAAAGTTGCTGGTGCTGTGGCACTGACTTTCGATTGAAAGGTATTCGTAGTTCAAACTTCAAATTCCTCATCAGCCACTTTGCTTCTTGTCTCGTCTGCACGAGATAATGTCAGCACAAGGCAGGAAAGGCAGCTTCAGGCGGGACAGAGCTGTGACATATGAGACTTGTGACTTCCAAATATGGAAGAGCCCCAAGCAAAATTTTGCCAAACACACCCCCAGCCTGACGCTAGTTTCGAGTCGACTTTTCTGATACAGGTTATATTCGAAATCAAGATCGAGCTGGCAAAACTGAAATCTAGAACCTAGGGTACTCCATGGGGTTTTCCCACCAATATGAATAGATATATATATAGAGAGGTTCTTTACATGCATTTGAAAATTCCCCTCAGTCATAGGTAAGTCCTGAAGAGCATCTTATATATCCCGATTTAGACTTCAAAGACAATGAAACCTTTAAATACAAGATAATCTGGATTCTGGAACATGCCCTCTGTTGTGATTATCTTCTCAGCCTCCTTGGGAATAGCCATTGCCAGCAACTTCTGTATTATACTCAACACAGGGCCATGATACAGAAAAAAAACAGCCATTTTCTTGTGTGAAAATGAGGCAATGCGCATGACCGCAGATGTCGTTTATAATGACATATTAACATGTTATATAAAAAAATTGGAATAAAGCATTGAATCCAAGTGCAAGGACAGTTCAAGCAATTATTCGTGAGCAGGAAAAATTGCTCCAGAAAAATTAATTTTGGTGGGAATAACTCATTGAGTGGCCCTACAAATCAGACTAACTGCTAATTTTATTGTCAAAGAAGGAATCTACTTTTGGAGGTTAAATATATATACTGTAAGTCTACTTGAACAGTTAAGAGTTATGGGACATATGCTTTTAGTCGTTAATTGTATTTCACTTAGTCTGCATTGGAACAATCTTTGACATGACTGCTTCCCACACATGTCCCCCTATAAATGTCAACACCATTCAAACACCAACATTAAGAAAAAATTCAATAACTTTCAGGGACTTATGAGGCTCTTATTCAAGTACTTTCAAGAATGTCTTAATTGCAAGCAAATGTGTGCAATTTACAGTCATTTAAAGGAATCACACCAAAGAAAAGAAGACATTATTTTATTTAAACCTTGTATTTTAATACATTGATGACAAAACATGAAAAGAATGAAATTAAATTATGTTTTAATAGGTATTCTCCTCTTCTGTGAATAACTGTCTATATTCAGGTAAAAACTTCAAGGTTCAAAATAATAATTTGTTAAATTTTGTTGTATGCTGTAAAAAGTAAAAAGCCCAGATTGAAGGCCAGATGTGAATGATATGTTTATGTATTAAAGCCAAGCATTTTCTGGGTTGTGTACCAGACCTTTTAAACTGCTCTCCATAGTTCCCCAATGGCACTGTATTATATGTTAGTTACCATATAAATACTGCAAGTACCATACAAAACATATGCATACACATATACTGGTTGATATAGGTACATACTAATAGGCAGTCAAACAGATAGATATACAATGTAGATTTTTTTCTTTAAAAAAAAAATTTTATGACCCATATAGTACACAGAGAGAGAGAGAGACGCATGTACTAGCACTATGCTGTAGTGTGCAAAACCACCCGTTTCTTAGCTCATCAAACAGGAGAAATGACATTTGTGAATGAAATAAAAACTGGCAGTTCTATGGTTTTGCTTACCATGTGTTTGCGTGTATGGCGGGGGGGGGGGGGGGCATCTTTTCAGACTGGCGTATCTCTACTCGTACAAGTTACTATATCTATATTAGGCAATAGCCTTCCAACTGGAGCGTTA